CGTTTATAAATATAAAAAAAAATAAAGACACGGACTTGAACAGGCAGCTTTCTGTGGTGTTGCTTTAATTAAATGATCTATGGTTTCTCAATGTTTTTAACATAACGATGTAATATAACGGTATATCCTTTTTAAAATTTGAAAATATAGCTGTGCCGTCTACAAATTACTTTAATGCACTTAATTTGTTGTATTTTGATTTATCTGTGTGATACAATTGTATTCTGGCTTACAACTCGCGAGTATAATTTTTCTATAAGAAAACATACTTATATTGTAGCGCTCTTCCCATCCCCGCTGACGCAAAAATACGTCTTATAGGAGGCAATGAAGTAACATGTAAACACCTGTACTGTCTAATTGTAACAAATTGTCAGTCTGTTTGTTAGCTATATTGGTTTTGTGACGTCCGTTCGTGTCACGTACTGCTATCAAATGTATAGGATAGTGATTTTCCAATGCCTATATTGCGATTTAAATAGATAATACTGACTTCTAATATCCAAGCAATAGTGCTTAGTCACATAAAATAGAAATTTGCTTGTTTCGTATTAGAACACTTCTGTGTGTCTAATTATTCATGTTATTTATAGGCCCGCAGTTGATTAGAATCCGCTGTCAATACAATTATATTTTCCTGAGATTGTAACCCGAAACCCGCAAGATTAACGCGCATTGAGTTGAGCTTTCGAAAATCATTAGCAAATGGTCAAGTCCGCAGTTCTAACAATTTCAAAGATGAATATTTTTATAACATGAATAAGGAAAGTAAATGCGTTTATATAGTCTTATAATAGAGAAATTAGAGAAATAACTAACGCAAGACACTTACTTAAAAAACTGTTATTGTAAGTAATTCGATGAAAAGAGCTTTTGTTAAAACTGATTCACTATTTTGTAGCTCATTAACTAGTTAATTCTCATTTAAGTGAAAATGTCCAGAAATCTGATTACCGAGTCAGCGCGCGAAAAGTGACAGATCGCGTCCACCGCCATTTTGTTTAGTGATGGAAATTATACCCGAAATTATGCAACAACACGTAGGCATTCTAATATCTAATTACTTTTGGCTAGAAATTAATCTGTTTTCAACATTTAATGTTTAATTTTTCACCAAGTAGAAAAATGCAAACATTATAAATGTTCTTAGGCTGCAAAATAAATCAAGAAAAACTTTCTCAACGTCGGTATAGATAAACGACATATAAACTTTCAAATAATAAAATGTAGAGGCAAAGATTCGCCTACGTATGAACTTACAGTTTTTATTCATCGTCTAATGTTTTACTTCATCATTTATACTCTGTGTCTACGTGCTTAACATCATGTCACTATCATAATGCTGAAGAAACAAAAGACTTGTAAGATGCGCAATGTAAACCATTATCTAGTTATTTGTGCGAAGAACGAAACACAATACCAACCCGTTAGGATTCGTCCCGAAACTCTATACTCTTTGAAAGTTGACCAAGATCGGATTTTCGTATTTCCTTAATTTCTTTATTTTTGTTATTCTAAAAATATCTCCTTACAACGGAATAACTGTACCCAACGTAACAACTTTACATACTCTCTATTTCCTTATCTCTGTGCCTTTGTGGATTGTGTATTTTCTGAGCAAAGGTTTAACATTTTCCCCTTATATTTTTGTGTGGGTATACCACATATGAAGTTATATAAATGTGTATAATTATAATGAAAGTAATAAAATAAAAAAAGTGTTCAGTTCCTAGGAACATTTAATCTTTTTACCTTCGAGTTGTGTGAAATTGCAACCGTACAACACATTTATTATTATTTTCAATTAGAAACATTCGTATGGCAATAAAATCTCATTGCGCAAGGCAGCACAATAAACTTGGTCCGCTGAGACTCGTACCCACTCGCCGTATAAGGCAAATATTAAAAGGTAATCGAATGTGTTGGGTTTCTCTCTAAAAACTATTTTTTTTTCTATAAAAAAATAAAAAGAATGATATGTCTATAAAATACGAAAATGCTTTTACACTAAGTACTTATATTTTAAACACAAAAAGGTTAAAAATTAAGTTACATGTTCTTAGTACTTATGCATTTTATAGTGTTAAAAGCTCAGTCTTAAAATGGAGATACAATTTTACGAGATTTTACAATCAAAATGTAAAAAATATTATCAAACTATACGACTTGTTTCGAGGAGAAGTCATTTACTCCCTATGGCTATTATCATTAAGTCCAGGGCACTCCAGTAAAGCTAAAGCATTACAACGAAAGTATTAAAAACTTAGCCAACTGTAACTAATAAATTAATTACCAAAAGTTATGTCAATATTTTCTTATTCTTTTGATATTAAAAGTAAAAAAATCCCTTATTCTTATAATAACTTTTACTCTTTATGAGAAACAAGATTATTCTTTTAATATTTCTACGAAGTAAATTATATATTATATGAATACATAAAGTAATGCTAATAAGATTTTTAAACTAACTTTTTTACCGCAAGATTATTTAGATTAGCGTCGTACTACTTAATGCATAGCTTAATTTTTAATAATTCGGCTTTTTGACTACATTTTGAAGTTACCGCGCTGCGGGTCATAATCATAAAAGGTGAAACGAATTCTGGGGCATGAAAATACAGTTTCGGTCGATTGCGGCATGGATTACGTGTTTGAGGGTGGTCGACCAGACAAATGGTCACAGATATCTGTCCCGCATACATTTGAGGAGAGCTACACGTTATAATCGAACGAATGATAAAATAAAAGCCGCGACAACAAACCGTGAAACACAGAAAGCGTTTTATTCTGTCCGAGTGCACGGAACAAACACCTGTTAAGCGCAGATTAAAATTTCCCGGAACATCAGACGAATAGCCACCGCTCTCAGCATTCCGCTGCCTCCCATTCTTCGAAATTGTTCTCCCAACTTAGTTTATTTTGAACTTCCCACAAGCTCGGCTTTACTAAAATGTACCTTTTAGACTTCAGCTTTTGTGGAGACGTCTTCATTAGAAACAAATTCAAAGCGTAGCGTAAATTAAAAAAAAAGTCCTCCGTTTAAGGATAATAAATGTTCCATTGTTCATATTTTAGTATAAAACGATTTGGGTTTATGTATTGTTCAGTCATCTAAAATTATGCGTTTAATATGTACATTCAATAGTTTTAGAAAGTACGAAGACGAAGTATTGTGCGAAAATATATTTTAATATTATTAAATTAACAACTTTAATCAAAATTTTAAGTTTCACAAATTACATCATTTTACTATAAATAGTATTTGTTTAAGTTTTATTGATAGTATATGCTGTCCTTCATTACTTTTATCTTATTTCTATGTGTCGGTTTTTCGAGATCCGTAATTTCTCACTAACATCATTCGTGCGAGTCGGTTTGTTTGTCGTTGGTGAATGTCCCGAAAGGCCTTTTGTTAGATATCGTATAATATCGTGTCGTGGTATGAACGCGAAAAATTTTCATAAGCCTCGAATCATCAGTGTAATGCTATGTACGTGTATCAAGAATTCTTAATATGCAACTCAATGTAGGTAGAGCCTAGACAGACGATATTTAAATACCAACGTACTAATATAAGATAACAATGTAACAGGCAAAATTATTATTTTTAATTATCATTTATATTTACTCATAGATAGTTATAATCTAATTTTTAGCTTCAGGAGGTAGAAAAATCAGCATCATCTCTCTAGTATTATCATCATTAAAGCAATCTTTTATTTAAACAAATTGAAAAACAAAAGAGTGCAATCTAGTTGACCACGATCGTATAAAAAAATAAAACGGAGTCGTTTAAGTTCATTTACTGTTTAGAAATTGCAACCGGCGCTTACTTCAAGATTGTTACACCTACATTTTATTAAGGCCTTATAATAAAATAAATTGAAAAATAAGTACCTTTAGTACTTAATTTATAACCAAATTCAGGTATAACGTAAATAGATTATACTTTTTTATTGAGATATTAAATTCTTAAACTCAAATCAAAGTTTCTTTAAAGAAATTCTTTGAGGATGTTTTATTATTATTAAAGATTTAGGATTCACTATAAAGCGAGAAAGGAAGCTAGAACGATAAAAATACTTTCTTTAATTTAAAATGTTACTTTCGTCCGGTTCTCGTCACTCTGTCACGGAGATGTTTTAGGGAAATTAAATAATCGTTTTGTTCTTAAATACAGGAGGACCATTCCGACTCTAATTACATTCTTAAAATCGTTCTGTGTGCAAATTATAGAAAAATACTGCGGCGTTTAATAAGAGTACTCAAAACTTTGACTATAGCTTACTTGTAAAGGCATTGTCTAAATAAAAGGTTCTGGGCTCAAATGCTGGAGAAAACTAAAATTAAATTATTTATGACCGATAACTTTATTAAACGCTGGCATTGTTTGATACGATAAATTTGTAAAAAAATATATGCATTAACTGACTATCAAAATGATAATTTTTTTTGTATATTTTATATTATGAAAGATACGAAATCAAATTGATATATGTAATAATAGTTCAATTTCATACAAATACTAAAGGATATTTTGTGTAAGCAAACGCAAATGTTTTAAAAACGATAACTGAAATAAGATTTTATTTTGATAACCAGAACTCGTTATTTTCTTTTCGTACCTCACTCGTAGTCCTAATTTTTTTGAACGTAAAAATACGTAAATGTTGCTTTAGGGAATATGTACAATAATATGTGACCAAACGTACTTTATGAATTGTTACTGAGTAAATATTACTTTTACTTCTATCTTTTTGATTTAAACACATTGTTATTGAAAACGTCTTTATTTTTTTCTAAAAATGCATACACTTTGCAGTTTTATGTTTATTTCTAGTAGAAGTTATAGTAGTAGTAATCACAGAATCTTCTTTCTTTGGATGTTAATTTTAATAGTTTTTAAAAGTTTAGAAATATACTTTAAAAGTACACAGCAGTATAAGTACCATGTTCTTAGAATTTAAATAAAAAATACCATAATAGTTGCAAGTACGTACCCGAGGGCCATTGTTACTTGCTACGAGGGTGCTACGGCAACGAACAACGATACGAATGCTGTGTAGACCGCGCTACGGCGTTTATATTTGGGCGGATCCGCCCATCGCGCCGCCCAATGCATAATAGCTTTTACGTACACACTTATTGTTACAAGCAAAATCCTCGCGATCGAAAAAGTCAACAAAATTTTAAATGTCAAGTATTTAATACTTAAGGTAAAGATAAAATGAACAATTAAAAGTCTTAATGAGCAGAGCCCTTGTGGGGAAATTTAATTTTAAAGTTTCTTGTACTTAAACCAAGCGTCAAACCAAATATACGGCACTATTATATGTCTATTAATTAGTTAAGTATATGATAATTGATGATTACGGGTCAGGACTTTTCACGACACTTCCAATTTTTTCTTATAATGATAATATTATTTAAGCCTCCCACGACTTACAGTTACAGTTAGTACACATAATATAGATATTTATAAAACATTTCGATTGTCTGAAACATATAAAATGTATAAAAAAAATTAGGAACTGATAAAATATTAACGTTATTATTATTCTTAGGTACCTATGGATATTAGAGTAAAAATTATCAACTTTATCGATCCACAAATTTAACGTAATGAAAAATATACTAGTTAATGAGATTCTTAAGATATAGAAAACCTTTTTCTTTTTCACTAAACATTTTTGGTTATCAGATATTTAATTGATTTATCTTATATTAACTTGAATAATACTCATGGATGGAAATAAATTATATCAACATATGAATTTGATATACTACAGTATTTAAATCATTTGTGAATGGTATTTTTTAATATATAGATTAACCGATGTTTTTTTATTCGATTTGATTTAATTTCAGTTGTAATTTCTAGGTATCTTACGTTATTGTATTGTAGAATATAGGATCCTGTTTCTTAAAGTTGGAGTAAAACTAACTTTTTGGCTATAAACCTTCGGACCGTTTATCTAATTTGCCTTCTTGTAGTGTCGAAGCATTAACATTCATCAGGTGTTAGCCTTTGTAATTTAGTCGCAACCTTTCACCTCGTGTCCCTCTTCGCCCTTACAGCTGATGCTTATGCATTTCGGTGAGGAAAATTCGAGAAAACTTTTTGTCAATGTAACCTGACAGTAATACAATAACGAATTACTATCCATGCATATTATATGGCATGGTTTTTGTAATTTATTCTCTAAACTCAAGAAATACAAAAACTATTTTTCGTGTATTCTTAACTTGACACTAAAATATTTCACCTTAAATTAACTGTATATTCTTTTGATTTGTTTAAACATGCGAAAGAGGTCCACTACAAAAACTCTTAACAAGACAGCAAGCACAGTTGACATCCAAGTAGTATTTAATTTCATTATTTGTAATAATACATTAAGAAGTATTAATTACCATATCTCAGTGCGACTGGAACGGATAAATCTTAAAACACAAAATTTCAAAATACATCGTGAATATTTCGATGACCTTGTATGTAATATAAGATACCATAGCTGTAGGGGTGAAATGAAATTCGAAATTACTCCGCCATTTTTTAGGCATTTGAAAATAGAACTTTGAACCAATTTCACATACCAAACATGTTTACTATATTCCATAAATGGTATTGAGATGAAAGGATTTTTGTAAAGTTTTGAATGTTAGGAATTAAGTTTCAAGTTTGCCATCCAAAACGGTGTTAACGCAGCGAGCGCCAATAAATATCTCGTTTCACTAATTTCCTTGAAAAGGCGCGTCTAACAGCCTAATAACAAATAATGGCGTACCAGCAATACGAGAATAGAGATATTTCCCAAATTTGTAAGTCCTACCCAAACCTATGTAAGGTTTATGTATTATAAAGACCGATACGAGTGTAGTCTATTCTAGTCTGTTACGTCAATTCATATTGTTAATACGAATTTGGCTGCACAAGAGGTGTTTTAATTATGTCTTGTACCACACCAAGGTTGTGTTATATTTTATTAAAATCCTCATAAAACGGCAGAATTAATTCTAATTATTGTGGACTAACACATAGATACTTTATAAATCGTATATATCTGAAGATTAAGTGAGAAATCCTCATAAAATTAGTCTATTACACCAGTAGGAATAATTTTCGTATAATGGAGCTATATATCTATCCCTTAATTATGGGAAATATAGTATCAAGGTGCGAAGACAGAAGTAAATAATCGGCAACGTCCAATACACTCTTAAACGAAGCGAACGCTTTGTCCAATGAATCGCTGATGAAAACAAATGATCCCTCTAAGGGTTGTCGTGCACATAACTTAAAATTTTATTATAAAAAAATGGCTAAGGAATTTTAATTTGTATATAAAACCCTTTAGCGGTTTATAACGCGGTGTCTATTAAACTTATTTGAAAATTATTTTAACTACAGCCTGATGTTTCGGCTGCTGCAAAGCATCCGAAACATCAGGCTTATACTTAAAAACTCATAATTAAAAACAATGAGATATCCTATTATTTTAATTATAAGGGTTTTTTAGTACTTTTCACAAAGTATTGTTTAAGTGTAAGGTGATCGTCGACGTCCTGTGACGCAAAGCAACCTCGCGAAAATCTTATAAAACAAAACGAGTTTATACAGTTTAACTTCTGTAAAGGTTAATTTTGTATCTTTGTGGCATGTTCTATTATATTAAAAACTTATTTTTAAACGAGGGAAAAAACTCTAATGATGCACTCACAGAAAAGTATTGCCACAAGACGGCCTCAACTGATTTTTATAATTAATTAAGTTATCAGGACTTAAGTACTTGTAAATCTGGATAAGAAATGGGTGGTAGGAATTTTTAAATTCCGTCCGGGTCACGAATCACCGTCCCTAGATGAAAAAGCTATGAAGATTAATCGAGTTTCGGATTCAGTCTGCGGATTTCCGAATATCCGAAGCCAAAACAGGTCGCCAGTGCATCTTGTTTCGATGTGCATGCATTGTCTGTCTTTCTCTATATAAAAATAACAGTATATTTAGTAACTGTGAAACCGCGAAGTTTAAACCTGCACTATCTTAATAGCTTCTTGAATTCGTTTGAGTTTTTCAAAGTAATTAGTGTTTGTTTATTCGCAAAAGGGTGGTGATGAATGGCCCTCGCCGTCTACGTTATGCATAACAAGTGCTTAAACAATGAAAGCACGCGGTTCCACTCGTTAATATATTTAAATATGACAGTGCTTATCTAAACTTTGCTAGATTATCCTAATATGTGGAGGAAAATTAAAAGGAGATAAAACTTTCTTTATTTACATGACTCAATAAAGCCTTAAACCTAAACTAAGTAAGCATATATTATGTATGAAAAAATCGATAACACAGAAAGAATACGCGGTGTTGTGTTGTTTTTTTTCTGTTTTCCCATTCAGTTACTACTTATTCAGCTTCCGATTGATGCGTCTTCCAATCCGCCTCCGAAATACAATTATTACATTACTGTATTTGTGATTTTCTCTAAAGTTTCCCCCCGTGGAGCACAGGGCAAACAAATTTATGTGTCCATTTCCCTGATCGATGTTACTAATAGGCAAGTAGTTGATCGGAATTCTGTGCTCTGTCCGATCGAAACAATCTATTGTTTCCTCGGGATTCAAACACAGGACCTCACGCGCTTAATGCAATGCTAGGCAACACGTTTAACCATTGAGCTACAGAGGCGGTCGAAATTGTATTTTAATAATGTCTTTTAATTTCAACATACTATATATAATATGTATTAAATTATACTAATGTGACAAGTAGACATTTCGCAATCACCGAAACGTCTTAGTTAACCCTTTTGCAAATTGGAATGGAAGATTATTCACGTTTAATTTGAATATATATAAAACTAGCGAACCACCCCGACTTCGCTCGGGGGCAATGCTGATGCTATCAAAAATAACTGTATTTCTCCACTATTTAATGGATGTACACAATTATAAGCCTTTCTTTCAAATCACTCTATTTAAAAAATCCATTTCGTACTTTTAAAGAAAGATAGAAGAAGAAAAAGCGACTTTATTTTATACTATGTAGTTATACTGTAAATCGATAAAACACAATTTAAAACAACGTAAAACTATTTTTATTATGTAAATATAAAAATATTGAGAGATATGTTCAATTCACTTTGAAGGAACAACAGATAAAAAACCTTCAATAAATAAACAAAGACATATGTAAAGCTAGTTGTAATTTTTACAATAAGTATAAATGTTTTACATAAGGTAGAAATACAATTATCGTCGTAGTTTTAAACTATACACAAGTTCCTAACAATGTGTTAGGTGCGAGAGACTGTGGGATCAATACCTGAGAAAACATAGAAATAGTTTCGGACGGGCCAACCATAAAAGTATCATACTTTGAAATAAAACACTTTACCGGTTTAAAACGCGATATAGGCCGAAGTCCCGTAGACTCTCCACCCGTGACCACGGCTGCTACAAAGCATCCGTAACGTCGGGCAAATTAAAATAAAATAAGTTTAACTTATATATATCGCGTTTTAAACCGTTAAAGTGTTTTATTTAAATAAAAACTACTCTTCTACTACTACTAACGAATGGGTGGGCATTTTACATTAAAAGAAAACATCCCTGAAAACATTTTTCTGACAATAATTTGCGAGCCTATTACATCATTTTAATCTTAATGAAACCGGCATAAGCTTAATGATAACGTCGTTATAAAAAGGAAATCATTAAAAAGCTACATAGCTTATCAAAGTTCTTATCAGTGATAAAATAAGTGGCTTAATTGTTTTGTCACTGTTAAGCTTCATCGAGATGTGTCTAGATAACAAATAATGTTTTAATCTGGTAGGACGTCATAACTTCTAAAGAAAATAATTGTATAGCAAACGTTTTGTATGTATACAAGGCAATAAGTACTAACTATATGGGATAACAGTGCATCCCACTGCTGGAACTCGAACCGTCCAGAACCAGGTTGCATGTCACCTTTTCAAAAAAAAAGATATCAAATGTAAATTATGTAAAGTACTGTACAATTGGGGTATCGAATTTCAGACTTACGTAGTGTAGCGATTCTTAAAAAATACTCATGAAAAGTATATATATTATAATGCTTATAACAGGTAAAATGTTATATAATACTTATTGCAGTATATAACATGTTTACCTGCAATAAGCACATACCTTACATAAATCATGATATGGAGGTATTCGTAGATTTTGTAATATGAGTCGAATCGTTGAAAATGTACTTATTTATTGCATTCCAACGTGTAGGTAAGTGAAATGTCAAATCTGCAGATTCTATCGAACTTAATGTCAAAAGGTTATACAAACATTGAATCGAATTGAAAGCTACAGCTGATTTGATGAAGAGAAAAATCATATTTCCTCAATGTGGAGTTTGGGGCAGAGGCATGTCTGTAGTTTTATAAATCATTTATTATGGAAAGGATCGGCCTTCTGTGCCTTACCGGACCGAAAATACTTTAACGTTTCACGATTATACGAAGTATCTACAACCTAAAATATAAAGACAGTTTACATACATTTTCCCTGTAACGCACTAATCGTCCATTTTCATACAAATATATTCAAGGTGTTACTTATTCATAGCCCTCGCTGTTCATATAAAACCTATGAATATTATTTGAATAGATGTCATCTTATGATGAAAGCGGTCATCGTTCTTAGACAAAATTTGATACAGGCTTCTATTCGGGTTTGCTCCTATGCAATGGGTCATAAGATATCAAATGGATATATTCATTCGGGTTTCATAAGATCTTTAGAACAAACTTAGCCTTGTTGTACAATACGCACTTGATCATATTTTAAATATGTAAATAGCTTACAGAAAATAATAATGTTGTACGTTTGGATTTAGTAACTTCGTAATTTTATATTTGACCTTAAGTTTTAAATTTACGATCACTTTAAATGAGGGAAATGCCGTTTCCTTCCGTAGGGCACGGAACGAACACATTGTTGTTTTACTGATAAGTTTTCTTTACAGGCAAGTTGTTGATCAGATATCAATGCTTTGCCGGACTGAAATGTTTTATTGCTTGTCTAGGATCCAATCTAGACCTCTCGCGCTTAACGCATTGCAAAACGTTCAATCAACAGAGGCGCTCGAAGTGAATTTAATAATATGTATATGTTTCTGAAATAAAATAAATGATATATTAATAGCAAAAATGTAATTGAAATAACCAAAACGTTATTGTACAGATTGGCACTACCGTTACTATCTATCCAATCACGGTATGCCGAAACGCGTGTATAAATAGAGGTCTTGTCGAAATTCTTTCCGCTGACTACCCCCACCAGCAATTCCTTCTGATACTCCTCTTTGGGATCCAAAGTGCTTTTACAAGCGAGAGGACCACCCGAATCACCTCTCGAAATGTCTGTTACTGAAGAGTCTGAACATATGAACGAATTCATGTCCATTTCCCACAACTTCGCGCAGTGCCACCGAGTCAGTATAAATATTGGAGCAACAAGAAGTGTAGGGGATATAGCGTCGCGCAAGTTATACCCAACTCGACCGAAACCAGCTGATCTACAAGTCTGTGGATAATCGGTGTTAACACTAGCCGGGACTATATAATCCACGTTCCGTATGAAACTCCATTTGACATCAACGAAGACTAGCGCTATATCATTATCTGGGAAGTTGAAAGATCTGTGGATGATAACGTTGTCTATCCGTCGCCATTGGCTTATGATGGTGGTCTCGGTTCGTCCAGAATGGGTTATATCCGTTCGTAAGTTGCCGGCAACGAGGCGTAGAATCTCCGGATGTTTCTGGTAATAGAAGTGGTTGCCTTCGAAGCAATGTGCCGCTGTTAGAACGCGCAGTTCGTCTATAATGCTTCCGCCGCATAGGTTTTTCCAAACTACCCGTCCATGGCCTAGTCTTCGGAAAGGTTCCTTAATAGAAACTAGGTAGGGTACTTCTCCGACTACCGCCGGTTTTCCATTCACAACAAAGGGCTTAACGTAATGTTTAGAGTATTTTAATGTGGTAATGATGCGGCGATCTATCTCGCATTGTGTGAAGCCCAAAGTGAGTAGAAACACTAGAAGCATAACAGTAAACTAAAATTTCCGCACGATCTGTTTGACGTCTTCCATTCTGACGGAGTTGACAAGACATCAATAACCAAACAAAGAGAATATAGCGAGTATTAAAATGGAATAGATAAAAAAAGCAACAACGCTTTAAGATAATTAATATATTTTTGGCATGCGCATGCACTTTTAATATTATACAATATTTTGCCGAAATTACTCCTCGTATTTAATTAAATTGTCATACATTTTGATTACTTAAAATTAAGCTGGAGCAGAATTTTGCATATTCCTACCACCTATTTACTTTCCAGATTTCCAGACGAAGTCCAACATATTTAAAATTTTTAAAACTTGTAAGAGCCGGCCTACAGCCCCTTGATTATTAGACAAGTGTTGCCACTATTGGACAAGTCAAAACAAGTAAAACAGAAATGTATGGTATTGTCAAAATAAAAGCCAAGCGTTAATAGATAATATTACTCTTTAATAATAATTACATCGTCATATAAAACATCGATAATCCTGTAGTTGCATACATGCAACGTTGAGGTAAATATAAAAAATTGTAATACTTAGGCAATATACATTATTGTTCGTTAATTCCATGATAAGAGGTTACACGTTTTACATAACTAAAGTATAATTCATAAATGCTGTTTATATACTCATTTTGTAACTTAAGATCAAAAAAGTTATATCTAAATAAAACACTTTAACGGTTTAAAACGCGATATATTAGTTAAACTTATTTGAAAATGATTTTTAAACTTAAGCTGCTGCAAAGCATCCGAAACGTCGGGCCGAAGTTAAAAATCATTTTCAAATAACTTTAACTAATATATCGCGTTTTAAACCGTTAAATTGTTTTATTTAAATGTGTACTACTCGCGTAAACTATAGACAGTATTTAAGTTAATTCTAGTTCTAGGAAAAGACCACTTTTGAGGACATTCCCTGCTTGTCAATTGGTGTTGCCTTATATTAATGTCGTTTTTTTTAAGTCCGTCAGTTAATAATTATTTTATATTAGCGAAAAGATACGATATGATTATAAAGATATATTAGCGACATACAATGTGGGTAGTTTCCATATTCCAACATTTTTTTCATTTAAGGTTTGTTTGTAAACGTAATCGACATACATATCAAATTAAATTAAACTTTAAGGAGAATTAAATAGAAAACATTATAGAAAAGTATTCTCAGTAAAAATTAATAGGTAAAGATACATTGATCTAGAGATCTAGATAAGTAAAAAGGGCGAGTGACGTCACGTTTAAAAACTACTGCAACTATCCCGTTACTGGAATACGGCCCTAAACGTTCTACAGACAATATTTTAGTATACTTTTGATTCCTATAATTCTTAACAATTCCTAGAATTTCCATAATTTTCAACACTATAAGACTAAACGATATGAAAAGGAATGTACGTCGTTTATTTGTCCTGTAATTGCACGTAGTTGGCCGGGAAAAGGCCGTATTGGCCCTTGCACAGTCCTTGCCACCAGCCTTCGTCGATCTGGAAACAAAAGTCCTATTAAGAGACAGGAGGATAGATGTTGGATGATTATTTCGAATTTCGTTAAAATTTACACCCTTACCACTACTGATTGTTCTAATTTTAAATGCTAAACATTTAAACAAGATGCACTTTTGGACTATTTTGGCTTTGGATATTTGGAAGTCTACAGATCGAAATCGAAACGCGATTAAATTTAACGGCTTTTTCATCTAGAAGTAGACGTAGGTTCATCATCAGAACGGCATTGCGATATTTCTATAGAAATCTATATTAAATGGGAGTAGGGCCGAATATTGCTTCCATTACACCAACGAACCTATCTATTATATACAAATAAAAAAAACTACATTTTATTAAAAGCATATTTAACTATTAAACTTATTATTGCTGTTATTTTACTACCGATCTATGTCCCAAAGACTTACCATAACAATATTAGTGATGATATCATCAGGGTCGAAGGAGATCTCATCAGGGGCAGCCGCTTGGTAGTCGTAAAGGGCCCTCGCAATGTAACCATCATCGTCGTCATTGTCCCCATCAGCCGCCAACTCGCTTTCCCAACCCACGGGAGAGACCACAATAGTCGGTTGACGGGACATCTGAAAATGGTGGAAAATTTGTTATATCAGTCGCGCCATTTTCAGAGGTAATTATGTAATTATTAAAATTGAAACTATTTAGTATTTCATAACGAGGAAGTTTTCGTTCTTAAAAGCGTAAACTTTATCGTTAAAGGTTCAAGCTATCTTAAAATACGTATAAAAGAATGATTCGCCTTTAAATGATCTAAAAAATGTTTGCATCAGACAGAATATGTCTATATTTTGAGATTAACTTGCAAGAACGACGGGACGCGACCGACGTCGTGGGTAAGTGTTATAATTTATAAAGATAGGAGGGGGTTTCCTAACATAAATTTTTCTGCCCAAAATAACTACGCGGACATAGTCACTGGCACAGCTAGTAGTATTCTATATTTTTAGTTGACTTCGATCAGAAAGAAGAGAAAATATAAAAATCATTAAGAATCAGTGTTATAATCCCTGGGACAAAACTTTATCCTCGGGGTCCAAAACAGCGCGATTTCAGCTTGTGACAAAAAGATTTACCTCCTCTTTATCCTGTGGCTCTTTGGTGTCTCCAGTGAGAGTGACGTCAGGTAAGTTGACGCTGGTCTGTTTTACCTCCTCAGCCTGTTCGACCACTTTCACCGTCTCAGAGGGAATTAAGTCCGCCTGAAAAATTAATTTAAGTAGTAAAAACAACTGAATATAACTTGTGCTTTTGTTGTTTCTCAGTCTGTTTCTCTTCTTCTCTGTTTCTCAGCCTGAAGATTTTTTTTATTTCAAACAGATTGTGTCAATGTATGTACATACACAGAGACAGTAACCCTGAGTATATACATACATTTAGACTTAGTTTGGACTTATATTTATATATACTACATTATTATTGTTTTATTAGTCTACAGATAATTTATGACTTTGCTAAATAAAGTCTTATGATTAAGCCGTGTGAGATGAAGGATATAGGGGAGACTCTAACCACTTGACAACATAAAACAACTGTTAATATAATGCCACCTCACCTGTAGAGTACATAGACAAAAAGATTTACAAAATGGCACACAAAGGGAGAATATGATTTCACATGAGGGCAATCTCACAATTGATAACTACTAATACACTTACATTCTGTTTCTCTGCCACTTTAATCTCTTTCTCCGGTTTCTCTTGTTCTTGCTTTTCTGGGCTCTTTTCTTTTTCTTTCGCTACGCGTACTTTTTCCTGTAAATTGGTAATAGTGTTATTCTATGTCATACTAAGCAAACACTTAATTGAAAAATAAAATTTACCTTATCCGATAAACTTTTGTCTATTTGTTGTCTTTCTTGCCTTATCCTTTGTACAGATTTTAGCGCTTCCTGTAATCAAAATATAATTAAAAACATATGTTTGTACATTTTATTAGGTATAACTTATGTTGTACTAAGACCATACTAAAAACACAGACAAGTTTACGATCAACATTACCTGTTCCTTTTCTTTGGCCATATTCTCGAACTTGTCCCGTATAGAGGAGGGCTTCGCCCCACCAATGTCTGGCTTCTGTTTCGTGTAGTTCGTCCCGACCTTTTGCACCTCGTCGAATGCGTGTGCGCACTTGTCAACCCGGTCCGTTTCTATGCCGAATTTGCCGCCGAAACCCTGTCAATGTTAAAAATAAAACACTTTCAACGGTTTGAAATATATTATGTGACTTAATTTTATTTTATTTTAGGATGCTAAGATTTCCACCTTTAGTCTCCCTGTGGCCACAGCTGCTGCATAATTCAAAGTATTTTACGTGAACATAAACAACAACAATTTTACTTAATTTAACTGCAAATTGTAGACTAAGATAGGACTGGTTCAGATTAATAAGTGATGTCAATCTAACCTTTTTATGGTCAGTCTGACTGGCGTGTTTCTGTGTCTGTTCGTGATGCTCCCAGCCTACAGCAGATGCGTCCTGTCTGTCGCTTTGAATCCCAAATTTACCGCCGAAACCAATTGCATAGTCTATAAGGAATAAAAAAAAAAAAAGTTCAGGACTTGGGACCTTATTTACTTAAGTTTTATCCAGGGCATGCTTTTAGGTATAAGATAACAAAAACTTACAAATGAAGAGTAATATTTGGTTATTATTAAATGACAGCGTGATAATTTTTTTGTTACTTACTACAGAAAAAAATTCTCGTGTATTAAGCCTAAAATAATATCGGTATTTCATCCTTTATTAAATTCAAAATGACACTAGCTTGAACGATACGACATATAGAATAGTTTGTTTAAAAAAAAACTGAATTCTCACCCTTTTGCGAGTGATGAGTTTCAACCGTCTCGCGGTGTTCCCATCCTGCAGCACACTTATCCTGTCTGTCTGTCTGTACACCGAATTTGCCCCCAAAACCGACCGCGTAGTCTTTCTGGGACGAATGTTTCTCCACTTGCTCTTTGTGGTCCCAGCCCGCTGCACTCTAAAATATTAAAATAATAACTAGATAAATAATATAAAATTAATTTCTTATTTAGAAGCCTAATAATTGTATGTGAGGCTTGAATTTGAGAACATGGATACCATGAAAATCTCTGTCATCTGATCTCATGAGGTACATCAACATCATCAAAAAGTTTTAATTTCTTTTTTACATTCTAACCACATTGTAGTCCAACCTTAACATCAGTTTGTCGAAGTATAAGTCTTTTCAGACAAGTTGTTATATTGGTTATTTCTTATTTCTTAGTTAAAACTTTTAGATTCCGTGATAAATTAAAGAATAATTTAACTGTAAAAAAAGGGGGTAACAAAATTTATACCTTATCAACTCGGTCTGTATCCACACCAAACTTGCCTCCAAAACCTGAGAGGACGGTTTAAAAACACTCATTAAGCAGTACGGAAAAATTTTAAAGCATAATAAAGAAGTTTATCAAGAGTTACCTTGGCTATAATCCTTCTGTGACACATGCTTTTCTGTCTTTCCAATGTAGTCGTGTCCCATAGCGGATTTATCCATCCTGTCTGTTTGAACACCAAATTTTCCCCCATAACTAAAAATATTGCAGACTATTTTAAAAACAAATATTATAAACAAAATATTGCTATCCAATCATCTATTTATAGACATGATCCCAGAAATATGACTTAAAGGTATCTCACCCAAAAGATGGTTTAGGTCCATGCTCATATTCCTTCTTTTTGGCTTGTTTATCTGCCTCTAAAACTTCTTCGCGTAGTTTAGCCATACTGAAAATAAGATGGAACTTTTTAATGAGTATTAAGAAACTTAAAAGCTATTTCTGTTAAATAAGAAAAATGTCTTGTTAATAGTTCGAAATATGAAGAGCTCTGTATGAAAGCATATTGTTATGATTCATAAATATTAATTGATAAAACAGTTTCCTTGCTATGAAGCAATAATAAACATAAGTTCATTTGAGTGATTCATTCTGCAAATTATTTCCACACATACTTTACAGCAGGAATTTGTTTGAATCAACCATATTGATTCAAGTTCATTATAATATAATGCAACTTATATATTGTACTTTATGTTTTAAAGTATAATTAAAATAACTCAGTAAAAATTAGATTTATATTTGTTGATCTTTATTAGAATAATTGCTTATTACTATTAATATATATTAAAAGCTTACTATTACTATCTAATAATGGCTAAAATGAAGTGACATATTCAGCAGAATATAAATGAATCATAAGTTTACTAACTCAATAGCTTCAACATGTCTTCCACCAGGTCCCCATCGCTGTTCTTGTTCAGTTACATCATTTACAAAGTCAGGATCTGTCTCCCAATCATCTACCTCCGCAGGGGGTGGTGGCGCCACACCAGTTGATGCCTTCCACATCTATTTGATAGGGAATTTGGAAAAAAAGTAATAACTTTTACTTAACGGTACGTAAATGTATTAGGATAATATAAAATAATTAAAATATAAAATTATGGTATAACTATTTTTTTACTGCAACTTAATAATTTTAAGTATTTTCTGAAGAGATTTGCATTTTTACTTGTAGCTGAGTATTTACCAATAGTAAGCATTAAAACTAGGGCATGTTAGTGGGAAACGTAAGTAAATAATATTACCAAACAGAAGTCTGACTCATTTATCAGTTATGCTATCTATAACTAAGATAAATTTTGACTTCAGGAAACTTAATAATAAGTACATTTTACAGGAACACAGTTTATAGCTACGCATAAAGATACCTTAAAATTAGTTATTTAAGTCGTGCTTAAACATTAATCAATTAACGGGGGAATGTATCGTAAAACAACTTTCCTTTAAGGAAATTTCACCTTATCAACTCGCTGGAAAATATCACCTTTCGATGAAATAAAAACTTTCACTTCTTTATTTATGGGATTTCCGCTTTCTTTATGTTGTAATATTGTATTAAATAACAAAATAATTTTATTTAAAATAGAAAAGTCGCACCGCAAAGCGACTCAAAGCGCTTATAAACTATAAAGTATTTTAAATAATGACAGTGACATTATTGTCAATAATAAGTGTCTTTTATATAATTGAATATTGACTTCAAAGAAGTGTCAAAACATAGGTAGACATTTTAAATCTGTTATAATTTGACACTTAGCTCGTAGTAAAGTAAATAGTAATATGTTTTTTGGTTTGCTTTTTTTATTTATTTTAATTTACATTATTGATTTACATACAATACTAAACGGGAAAATAAGATTAGAAGTCGCAATATAAGCATTTTGTTAATAAAATTAAATTTCAGTAGATTTTCTACTTCAGTTTTGATAGAACTACGCAACCACTTACCCTGATTTTTGTGTTGTTGTCATGACTTCAATTTTATTAATTCAGACAGACTTGATGTCAAAATGAATATCAAATGTTTTGAAGACAAATAAAAACACCTTCCCATGAGTTAAGAAAAAATATAATTAATATAACTTTTATTAAAATAATATAGGACTATAATATTATGTACAACGCTTAAAATATCTAACTACTCAATTCTTAAGAAATGATTTTTATATTAAATAAAAATAGATCGAAATTCATTTCTAATAAACATATGTAATAATATCCCAATATTTTGCCACATTATTTTGCCTACGAATTATTGTCACCGAAATCATAATAAATTACCCTTAATCTAAGCATTTCTTAACATGCAATCAATGTCAACATTTCTAAAGAATAAAATTGTTTATTGCAAGCTGAACAGACGATTTATTTACTATCGCCAAAGCTTAAGCATTTTTAAAGGAAACAATAAACAAGAAATAAAAACGCTTTCTTCGGCGTCAGCTGGACTGTAATTTAATTAGCTACGTTCAATTCGTTTCTGGATCCGGTGCGTCTATAGCATACCCGCATTTTTGTAAAGCGAGTTTAATTTCAGGAAATACGGATGCGTCTTCGATAGTTGCGGGTAGTTTAATATGTAGGGACCTAGCCAGTTTAGCGACAGCGCCTCGGAGCGCTTTACCAGATCTTGTGCGTGGTAGAGCTGGTACGGCTACAGCTTTTCTGAATGCAGCTATCGGTCCAATCAAATGACGGACGAGGGCGATCAGTTCTTGAGTTACGGTTTCTTCGGATATCATTTCTTCGTCTGAAAAATATAGTTATTTTATAACGGTACTCTCGGCGAATCACGCATTAAAGAAAACATTTTTACGACGCTCTGTAAAGCATCAGAAACATTAAATCGTGTTTTATACACGGATAAAATTTTTACTTAATATTTTATTGTATAAGCTGGATTATTTAGTATCATTTAAACAATATTTATGACTTACCATCCTGAGGAGGCCGCATTACATACAGACATAAGGGCACATCCCCTTTTGTAGGATCCGGCGCGCCCACTACCATAGCGTCGGCGACTCTAGCGTGTTTCAACACGACATCTTCAATAGCCGCTGTCGAGAGGCGGTGCCCGGCGACATTGATGACGTCGTCAGCTCTTGCGACTACCCACACGGCACCTTCTGCGCTAATCCATCCGACGTCTTGTGTGTCATAGAAACCCTGTAAGTTAGTTCCTTATTAGATTATATTTAATAAAAACATCAATCATATTATTTTACTGATACTATGTTTAGCGGTTTCAGCAATTGGAGTCACAAGAAGGTTATATATATTTCTTTTTCACTTTTGATTTCCAACACTCTTTCGTAATTCTTAAAAAGTAAAAACTTACGGGATAGTTTTCGAAGTAGACTTTCTTAAATCTGTCATCAGCGTTCCACAAGGTTGAAGAAAAACCAGGAGGCAGTGGTAGTTTAGACACTAATCTCCCGACTTCTCCTGATTGACATTCCGAGCCGTCTTCTTTTAAAACTCTTACTATTAAAAGAAGATATATGTTAAAATAAAAAAAGAACATATGCATTAAGTTAACAATGCTGCAGAGATGCGGAGACTAGAGCGATAAAATGAAATTAAAATTGAATACTCACAATCATACCCCGGAACCGGGTACCCTGCTGAATGTGGCCTGATACCCTTCACTCCAAACCCAAGACAAGCTGCTGTTATCGGAGAACCGGACTCTGATTGCCACCAGTGGTTAAGTACTGGTACGCCGAACGTGCGCTCTGCCCAATGCTGGCAATATATATCATATTTCTTTTATGGTCGAGAAGGTTAGACAAGCATAGAATTCACTTGGAGGTAGATGAGATACCCCTATATAACATCTAAACAAGATGCGTTGTCTATTTTCGGTTTTGGATTTTCGGAAATCTGAAGACTGAAACCGAAACGCGATTGAAATTCAATCTGATTCAGATTCATAAGCCGAACGTAATTTCGCTATAAATATAATACCTAACCCCCCATTCAATATCCAAATTTCCACACAGCCCAACATGATTTAGTTAACGAAAGAAACGTCATACAAAAATTTGACAAGTGATAATCGGCCAAACAATATTCGGTGAAAAGGCAGAGACCGAATTAATATATTATAATTATTGGTTAAATTGATAACGTCTCAGTATTGTTCTGAAAATTATGCATACAATTTTGAGGAGCTCGTTGTATATTAGTTATTTTGAACTTACCCTAGTATCCTGGTCACAATGCTCTCCAGCAACGAAGACAGTCTTCAACGTCTTAATGCAATATCGTCTCGCGTATTTACCATTCGAATCAGCCCGCTTCAACACCCTGCATACCGTTGGAATCGTGAAGAGAGCATTAACTCTGTGTTGTTCAATTATCCTGGAACATTTATTTATCTCTTTTAGTATCTAACTCGAACACTTCTGATTCCATTTTCGATATACTGAAGACGTTCTTTATTATCAAAAGTGTAAGGCTTTCACGACCATCGTTCGGCATATCATTGTTTTTCGGGCTGTCCAGCCGAAATAATCAAGAGGAGGTTCTCGAGATTTTGCCATCACGAGCCAACAGCATCATCAGGAGATGTTGTTAGCTCCTCCATTGCTCAAAGAATTCTTCCCGAAAAACAATGATATGCAACACAACACTTGTGTGGTGTAACACTGAGTATTATTCTTTTAAATATATTAAATTTAAATTCATTTCATTATTATATTCGTCTATAGGTACCTTACCAAAATACCTTTGCAACAATTAATGCTTACTTAGTAATGAAATCTCACCTAAAGTACTGGCCCGGATCAGGCGTCCTATCTGGTTTCCCTTCATATAGAACAGATGTTAGTCCAGCTAATAATGGACCGTAACATATATAGGAATGTCCAACAACCCAGCCCAAATCCGATGCCGCCCACCACACTCCTCGTTTTAGGCCGTAAATGGAATGCATTGACCAACAGACTGTGGCAGCGTGGCCGCAGGGTCGTTGGAGCCCCTTAGGGGAATCTGTTGTACCTATAACATTACAAAAGAATGTCGAATTTCATTAAGACCAAAGTAAGTAATTGAATGACCCAAAACGAATGACACTAAAAACTTACATATTGTCTCTCTTAAACTAATCTAAACTTAATTATTTAAATAAAACAGTTTTAACGTTTCAAAACGAGGTATTTATTAGTTAACTTATATACAATTTATTGGCAGGGACACGTCTCCCGAGACCATGGCTGCAAAGCATCCGAAACATCTGGCCGTAGTTAAAATAAATTGTACTTAAACCCGTTAAATGTGTACTCATCGCGTAAACTACAGACAATACAGGGCTATTAAAAAAATAGAAAAGGAATCTCGGCGTTACGCGTTATGAAGCGAAAAAGTTGATCCTACCGTCAATTGTTTCATTTTTAGTGTCTCTCACTTACAGTTTCCGGTCAAAATATATTTAATAGACTAACCTGACGTATACAATATGTATAGAGGTTCATTAGCTTCCAATGACACGCAGGGTACAGGATCGCTCTTCATGGCGACATCCCAACAGATGTCCCGGTTCTTCTCTAAAGGACACTCCAGAACGCGACGCCGTTGAAAAATGATACAGTTGTGAGGCTGGTGGGAGCTTTGGCAGAGCGCTTCATCTAATATATCTTTATACCTATGAAGCATACAATTCTAGCTGAAGATTTTCTTAGCTGGCGATTTGAACGACATTTTATCATTACAAAAACATCAATCAAATTATTAAACATTCAATGTTTAGAATTAAATAAGAAACGGAAACCCGCGAATAAATAGATGGCCGAACCATGGCTCCTAAGATTAGCGCATACAAACAAACAAACTCTTCAGCTTTATAATATTAGTATACATTAAAAATAAAGAATTACAATACTTTTTCTTACCGGACAATTTTGTTCGGTTCGACTCCACAGCTGGCAGCAATGATCACTGTAGGTTCGGCGTGTTCTATTCGGGTTCGCAGTTCTCTAGCCGCGAAACCTGTAACGTAAAAATAGGAAAATCTTATTTTTTACCCCAAATTTTTTTTTGGGGGGAAAAAAAACCCTTTTTTTTTTTTTTTTTTATTATAGGGGGGGGGGAAACCCCCAGGGGGGGGGTTTTGGGGGGGGGGGAAAACCCCCCCCCCCCCCCCCCCCCCCCCCCCCCCGCCGTTTTTTTTTTTTTTTTTTTTTTTTTTTTTTTTGGGGGGGGGGTTTTCCTTTTTTTTTTTTTTTTTTTTCCCCCCCCCCCCTTTTTTTTTTTTTTTTTTTTTTTTTTTTTTTTTTTTTTTTTTTTTTCCCTTTTTCAACTTCAATAATTTTGTCAAGCTGTAAAACATACGATATTGAACGCAAATTTATTTTTAATTAAAATAGGGACAGACAAAAAGGCTTACCTCCAAAAACAACAGAATGTATGGCGCCAATCCTGTTAGTGGCCAGCATCGCGATAACAGCTTCTGGGATAAGTGGCATGTAAATAACGACGCGAGAACCACGTGTCACTCCTAGTGAAGACAATTTACCGGCCAAGCGCGATACCTGTCGAATGTTTTATTTCTTAGAAAGAGGTAAAGACAATAGAAATTAAATTAAAAATATGTGACCGAAAAAAAAGGTAGAATTATATTAATATTTTATTTATCTAAGAGCTAAAGTTTGATCACAATTAATTACATAAAATATCTTAACTTTAAATAGGTGAAAGTTACAGATTTGTGTTAAGCGCTTAGAGACAGTATGTAAAATTATACAAAGATAAAAACTAAATTGTACAAAATAAAAATTTTTTTTTCATAAAAACATTATGAAAAATAAATATTTACTTAAATTTAAAATTGTGTTATCGTGTATATAAGCGCATAGAGGTAGAAAAATTAAACATGATTGTCTGTGAATTAATTTATCTATGAGATGCTAATATAATTCTTTAGGTATAAGTTTGTAATAAGGAAGATATTACATATAAACATAGTATACATTTTTATGTTTAAGAATGTTCATGTTCCTTATGTTTAAGTTTATTAGCTGAAACACGCATCCTAGCGTATGTTCTACCTGATCTTGGAGCTCCAAGTACGTGATTCTTTTGACAGTATCCGTTAGGGGTGAGTCGTGTATCAAAGCCACTTGTTCACCACGCCCGTGGGCGACGTGGCGGTCTACCGCGTTGTAGCATACGGACATTTCGCCGCCGACGAACCTAGAGATATAAGTATTTGATAAATGGGTATAATGAAGAATAAGTAACTAAAACAACTTAAACGGAAAATTAAAATGCTCTGCGAAGACGAAAATAAGTTTTACGAAATAGCTGATATTCACTACTTCGTGTTTCAGGTCATAAAATAGAATGTAGGAGAGGTAGAGGTTCCTAAAACCATTCTGCTCAATTCTTAACTTAAGTTCAAGTGGTCTAAAATACATATACAAGTTAATGTTATTTACCATTTCATCGTCTCGCGTTGTACTTTCGCTACCATAGTAGAATTTCATAAGAAAAAATGGGGAAATCAGATGGCAATATTTGGTAAAATTTAATATTCGTTGCAGATCTCTGTGAGAATATGTAAACTATTTTGGACCGAATAACACGAACAACTCAGTATATTCCTAAGACGTAACGCAGTACTCGTGTTAGTTATAATGACATTGTAAATATATTTAGATTAAGGAAAGTCGCAGCAAATATCTATTTTGTACCATTTAGTGAAAGGTGGGTTGCTTTCATCGAGTACTCTATCCCAGGGTCGTGTCCACTCCAATTCTTTGCCGACTTCGCCCCAAAATGCCTCTGGGTTTTCCAGAGACCGTCTATAGGCATTAAGGTATTCTGGCGTGAGGTCATTGTCTGCTGTAAACGATAATTAAAGACAGTATTAGGTATTAACCTTTAAACAAAACACTAAATAAAACGCGATTTACATCGTATTAGATATTAAACAGTTAGTCTGTGAAGTTAAGTAAAGTAGTTACTATCATCGAGCATATAAGTTGTAAAAACTTTTTTTAATTGATCAATTCAAAATAAAGTACCTAAACAAAATGATCTTGATCCTTTTGCACTTTATTTTACTAATCTAACCTTATTCTACTACGGAGTAACAAACAGGAAACAATTAGAATTGTTTAAAGTCAAAGACGACGACAGTATTATTTTAGTAGGTATTTGGTATACACTGTCTATAGTTTACGCGAGTAGTACACATTTAAATAAAACACTTTAACGGTTTAAAACGCGATATATTAGTTAAACTTATTTGAAAATGATTTTTTAACTTCGGCCCGACGTTTCGGATGCTTTGTAGCAGCCGTGCTCACAGGGAGACTCAGTCTTCGAAGTCCGAGTCGGTCGAAAGGTATTTGGTATATATATTTATGTAAGCATATAATTCGTACGAATGAGAAAGCAGTTTACTATGACGGTTTAATAATTTAAATGTGTACTACTCGCGAAAACTAAAAAAAACAGTTTACTATGTGCAAAGAAAAATAATAAATTTTCAGAGCTGTAACAATAATTTAAATATGTCAGTAAAAGGTTAAGTAGAATTGCTTTTATTCGATTAGTTTTCTATGCATAAAATTGTGTGACGTTTGAAATAATTGTTTACCTCATCGTCGACACGTGATCTAATTGTTCTATACAATGTGCCCTTCAATCAATCATTATCACCTTTAAATCAAAAACGCGAAATACAAACATATCAAACATAACAATTTTAATATTATGAATAAACTGCCACGTGTGCACTTGAATAATTAGTACGATACAGTCTCAATAATATAAAAGCCTAGTAGTAACAAACGTCCGTTTAGCAATTACGAGGATAAATTGTTCAAAACATCTTCGAAAACCTACAAAAACACATGGCTGCACTCGTTAAATACTCGGATATAAAAAATTTCAACAATAAGAAGATATACTCATTCTCATCCTCTATTTTTATCTAAATTATAATCGTAATAATTACGTGTTAGAAGAAATTCATAGTTGGTATAACTTTTATAACAACTTCAAAGAGAATTTACTTGTTTTTTTGTCACAAGGGGAATTAAAAAAAAAAGAGGACTTACAACATCTATTTCTTGGCCGGCATGAGGCGCATTAATAAAACAATATGACTTGTCATATTATTTGTTTTTATTTGGGCATTTAGAGCATGCTCTAAATGCCCAAATAAAAACCCTACAAAATGTTAAAATAGAAGATGATCACACTGCACTCGAACCTGTAGCACCAAAAAACCCTACATATTTAAATAAAACACTTTAACGGGTAAAGACGCGATATATTAGTTAAACTTATTAAAAAAAAGTTTAACCAATACATCGCGTTTTAAACCGTTAAAGTGTTTTATTTAAATGTGTACTACTCGCGTAAACTATAGACAGTATTTAACCCTACATATTGCAACTTTATCTATATATGCACCTCTGGCATATAATCTTAACATAAAATAACGTACTACTGCTCCATAAACTTCCAGTACGACCGGTCGTTCGCTAGTTGAATCCAGCGTTTCCCTGCTACCTTGACCAGATCGTCGGTCCACCTGGGTCGTCCAGGTTTTAACGTCCGGTACGTGGTCTCCGAGCCACCGGCCGGCCGTCAGTTCTACGAGCGATGTGCCGAATCCAGTGCTACTTCCTATTGTTTGCTATCTATCCTACGTCCTATATAACTTACCAAAACTCTCCAAATCAGCCGCAGTAACAAAAGATTTCTTCTTCAACTCACTGATCGACGTTTCGAACTTATTTTTATCGATCTTCGATTGGACATCCTCCTTTTCCTGGTACATTTTTGGCGCGCGAAAACAAAGCGCGTTTTTTTAATTCCCGAAACGGCCCAGACACCCGCCTAACAGTAACTGTGATGAATACGTAACTTATTCATAATACAACATTTATATTCCTGTATATGAATGAGGGACCTATGATCCTATTGAATTATTGAACGCGTACTGAAAAGAGTTTGACGTGCGTTTTAAAAACTGAATTAGATGGAGGCGATAAAACGATAATCTCTACACGAACTCCCGAAATAGGTTGACTTCAGTGTGTATGATACAATTTGGGAATAACTTTACAATCTTAAAATTGTTAGCTCATAAAATAAATTACAGGAGGAACTCGAACTGCAATCTTCAGTGTGTGTAGCAATATATACCGCTGCTCCGTCGAATGATAATGTTGTAGTTTTCATTTCCCGATCCTGGATAAGTCTATAGAAATGTGCCTATAATAAGAACTAGGCTTAACTTTTGTATTATGAAAAACGGTAGCAGTTTCTGCCGTGTGGGTAATTATAACGGACCGTGTCGAACGGTTCGATCCCCACCGGGGCCAAGATTTTTCTGAAGCTGTAATTTTTCTGAAACATGTTGGACTTCGTGTGGAAATCTGGATGTTAAATGGGTGGTAGGAATATAAAAATTACGTCTGGGTCACGAAACACCGCAGATGAAAAATCCGTGAAGCTTAATCGCGTTTCGGCTACAGTCGGTGGATTTCCGAATATCCAAAGACAGAATAGGTCGAAATCGTATCTTGTTTGGGTATATCACCTACCTCCTCTTTTTTTAATAAAAAAAATATGCCGTGGTAGAACATGGTAAGCCAAATATTATTAGTTCGAGTCTCGGGTTTACATTGTGTTTATTATTTACCAGTAATAATTTTTAGTAACACAATTTTTATCCATATTACATTTAAGAATAAAGAATTTAATTATAAAACATTTTTTTGAAGTTCGAAATACTTGTAAGTTCAAAAATCGAAAATAAATTGAAAAAAAATTTCGACTCGGGCACGACTTGAACCGGCATCGTCAGCGTTACGTTCTGTTGCCAATTGAGCGAACGAGTCCGATTTTTTATTTAACTTAATTTTTATTTTTAAATTATATAGTGCCTTCAGGTGCAAATAACATGTAAAAATATTAAAGTTGTACTTGTACATTTTTTATTATTATTATTATGAAACATCTTATTAAAATCATCCAACCATTTAACAAAAGAATGTGTTTCCTATATATATCTACTTTTCTATCATTTACAAATTACAATCACATCTAACCATGTTTACCAGTACATTAAATAAACAGTAACTACCTTGCGTCACATATATTTTAATTAAAAAGTAGGCGATTATTCAGCTACAAACATTTTAGTACCGCGTAATTTTACTGCTGAGCAAAGAGGTGTGAGGCAAATTGGAATATGCTGCTTCTAATACTATTTGGTAAGTAATTTTTCGTAAAATATGAAACTTAAAATTATAAGGTTCATCATATAAATAAAAAAAATAAAACATTAAGACACAGACGGAACTCGAACCGGCATACCGTACCACAGCGTTCCGTGCTAACCAATTGAGCTGTCGCGTCAAGCTTAAAGTGTTGCCATGGAATACTTATTTATCCTTACACGATAGCGACATCTATATTTTTATACACATTTTAGAACAATTAAAAATTCACATTCATACTTCATAAATTGATTGTCGGACCCGGTGGGAAACGAACCTAGAACTAATGAGGACATCGTAATTACTGTGTAGTAGCGAGTTAATATATACGTTTCTATACCCGAATAATTAATTAGCACTTTTTGTAGCACTACCCGTCATAACAACTCAATATTCAATCAAAGTGCGCGGCAAGGTTGAGTTAGCGGACAACATTCCAGCAATATGGAAGTACATAGCCAATGCTGTTGGTCATGTTGCAGAAGGCGTTCTTCCGAACCCAAATAATTTCCATAATAACGATGATAGAAATGTACTGGATTTGAGGGATTCCCCGGGAAGAGCCGGTTTCGTTCACGTATATGGCAACCATGATAAAACACGGGAGAAGGATTCATATGTTAATATTAATATTTAAGTTTTATTGGTCTCTTCGTTAGTTGCACACTTTTTTTATTTTACGTAACTTATGAGCCATCTCTTGCTAGCTTTCTATGCATCGTTTTCATTTTATAATTATTCATATTATTGTGTCCGAAGAACCGTTGATCCGAAGGGAAGGGAAGTAGAAACCGAAGTTTCGTTATCGGTTAAGTGTAAAAGCACACAATAAAAAGAGAATATATTTTCGTAACATTTTATTTCGTAGACACATCAGTATGCGAATACATTACGGTTAAGATTGTATTTATTATCGTAGCTCGTTCTATGCAACCTCTAGTTAACAGAGAAGCTAGCATATACAAATGATACTTTGGATATTAACAGGTATTTGGAAAAACTATTTACTATTAAAACATTTCAAGAATATCCAGTATTAAATCCACGATAAGTGGGGATGATTTTTTAAATTTAACATAATGAAATCTGATATTATTAGTATACTGTCTATGATCTTCAAAGTTTTAATTTATATAAAGTTACTAGCGAGCTTTAGAACCGACATGTTTATACATACCTACAATATACACAACATTACATGTAAAACTTCTGACAAAAAAAAACAAGCAAAAAAGTAATTACTTTAATAATTAATCAATAAGATGGTGTTTTAGCAAGATGAAATCAAATAAGTTTCAAAATTAATTAAATTAAGTATTACTTATAGCGTTAAAAACTATTGTCTTGTGTTGTTCTCCTATAGAAAGACTATAATGGTATCCCCATTATTTCCTTTGTTTGCATAAAATTAATTAAATAACGCAATATTTATGCGTTTTTGACGATTCACGAAAACGGAGCCGTCAATGAAATCATTTTGCTAGTATATGACTAATATCAATAAGGAAGCAAAACTTAAACAAGTATTTTAGATAAAGTTATAATAAAAAATAAAAGGAATAAATATTTAAATAAATCATTTTAACGGCTTAAAACGCGATGTATATCAGTTAAACTTATTTGAAAATTATTTTAACTAACCACGGCTGCTGTAAAGCACCCCAAACGTAGTTAAATTAATATTCATAACATATATCGCGATTTAATCCGTAATGTTTTTTTCTTAAATGTGTACTACTCGCGTAAACTACAGACCTCGGCTGGAATGTTGATAAGATGTAGTTAACTGATTTTCGGCAATTTGACAAAACATTAAATATTAAGTATTTAGTCAGTGGTATTTGGTAGGACCTAACTGGAAAAACCTTGATTGATTGTTGTAATTCACATAATATGTATATCTTAATAACAACTCCTTAAAAGCATTTTTGTTGTTAAGTTAAGAAGTGTTAAGTATTATATAACTAGCTCTAAGCGGCAGAAACAGTGACAAAATTTTATAGTGTTTTACAGACAAACTGTTTTAATTTTTTTGTTTAAGTATTATATAACTAGCTCTAAGCGACAGAAACAGTGACCAAATTTTATCGTTTTACAAACTGTTTTATTATTTTCTTTGACAGTACTTTACATTAAGATTACAATTACTATGTTATCGTTACATTACAACTTTAAAATCATAATTTAACCATACGGTGTCGATATTTCAGCGAAGTTTTTAAGCTTAGATTAAAACTTACTAGATGAGCGTTTTGACTACTCTAATAAATAATTATTCATAGTGAGCATAATATTACCCAAACTTAGGATACAAAAAATCGTTAAACAAATGGGCGATAAAACGAAAACCAGAAACAAACAAAAAAATATGTTTATTAACGAAATTTTATAAAATATAAGAATATTTACAACAACATACAATAGCGATCTACAAATGAGAATAGGCCCCACAATCTGCAATGGAATTACGTGTATGGGCCAATACACTAGGTATAATATACATTACTGGAATATATCGTGTACTTATGTTCGCGGTGCATCCCGTACAATGTCATTAGAAAAATCACTTATATACTATATTAACTACGACTTGATAACTAACATAACAATTACACAATTGGCCAAAAATTATTTAAACATCTCTTAAGCAGGACAGTCTATTAGTGAAAATGTTTACCACCTCTGCATAAAGCTGTCATAATAGAAACACTAACAAAATTTAAACACTGAAGAAAACGAACGTATTTTAAAAAGATATAACCCCCAAAATGTCATATTACAGGGGGTTTCCAAACATTTTACATAGATGAATGAGTAAACATTTTCTTGTTATGTGACATTCCGTTGACTAGGCCACGAACACATTAATAGATTTAAACCATATTTTTGGCCAATTTTATAAAACCAATCGAACTAGTTTATGAAAGTACAGTGAATAGGCATAATAAATATACTAAATAGTTAGTTGACCCGGACGCAATAGATATTAAATTGGAATTCTTCATACAGCTCGACTCGACAAACTCGAAGCTTAACAAACTGGCTTAAAATAATTTTATGTGAGAATTTAATTAAATTAAACCAAAATACATCAGAATCACATACTTAACCAATGTGGTTGATTATTTTTTATGGACAAGAATAAGCACAAGGACGCAATATTTCTAGTAGCCCTTAAGACCAGGTTTATCAAATTCCACTTAAATTCAAAATACGTCGTGTTTTAATACTTTTAAAATATATTTCTCTTATTGAACGAGATCTGAACTTATACAAAGTTATAAATATAAGAGTTAACTGTTCACAATCAAAAGTAATACTATATAATATTACTGCCATATTTATAATCGTGTAGAAATAAGGACCTATATCTCTGTCTCTGTCACGCATTTTTAAGATTGAATGAATCACTCTCTCCCTCTAATCCAAAGATACGCGATATAGATACATTCCTTTAAATAGGTAAGAATGATCATATTAGTAAGAAACAAAACACGACAATTTTCTTTTCTCTCATCTCTACAAGGCATTTATAGTATGCTAACTAAAAGTTTATAGATTTGCAAGTTACAACTGTTAAGATATACTGGACAGCGTTGAATCGATTCAGTTAACAAGGGTAATAAAATCGTAATTATTGTTAAGGTCGCGCATGGATTGATTTCCTTCGGCGACATTGTAATACTTTTGACTAAGCTTTTAATCTTATATGTCCATGTCAACTTATCGGCCCTTAAGAAAATAGCAATAGTTGTGCTAACTGCTTTTTTTTAAATAGTTCAATGCAAATTACAAATTAAGCAAAAATAAGGATGAATTTGCCCTTAAATGAATCTACCTACATCTACTAGCGTCGGGGTGGAGTTTGCCGCAGAGCGCTCAACGGAGGTCCGGGTTGTCATTGATTTGTTTCTTGATACGAACGAGCATGCTGGTGTACCACTGGTCCAGTCGGGATATGCTGTCGTATGTTTTCACGGCTTCGGTGAAAGCGTCTATGTTCTGCTCCTCGAGGTGCTCGATCAATTCCTGTCAAATGTCAAAATAAAGTGATGAATATTTGAAAGCTAAATAACGCTACCCGATGGATGTGGATGTGAGTTCTTTCAGTATCTTGAAACTTAGAGTAGTTGTATCTATGAAATCTTATAACATGTGAAAATGAAGTAATGACAAAAAAGTCTTGTACGTAAAAGTTATACTAATAACAGACTAGAACGCTATTGTATCACGTAATGTTTTTGTTTTATGACATGTTATTGTATAGATCATATTTTTTTTATTTATTTATATCGTATATTTATCAAAATTTGTCAAGCCCTTGTGTCCTGAACAACCAATACAAATACATTTTTTGACCTTTCAAAGCAAAATTATGTAAAACCGTTTAAACATTTAAACTTGCATCAACTTATTTAAATCGTAAATGTATATAAGTGTTGGCGAAAAGAATATTAAACTAATACAATTTTCCGTCGCCCATGACTCGTGGGTCGGCTGTATTATTAATAAAAGCACAAATTGTCACGTGTTGTCGAATCGACATGACTCAATTTATTTATATGGGAATAAATTACTACAAATACATAGACTAGTCATCTAGATATACGAAAACATTGAACTCGTTATTGTGGGAGAGAATTGTGTTGATAAAGCCTAAGGTTATGGCCACCTGTCTCCGCAATACATATACTGTCGCAATATTTTTAAGGGATTTCAAGGGCTTTAGTGTAATAAAAAAGTGTTATATAAGTGAAAGTGATATCCCGTTTACCCCATGGGGCATGGGACGAACACATTTCTGTGCCCGTCACAATGACCGGGTTTATTTAGAGGCAAGTAATTGATCAGACTTTCCTGCCCTGACCGACCAAAACTATCAATTGTTTCCCAGGGATTCGAACCATTAATATATAATAATAGTTACAGAGGCCGTTTTAAAATAACTATAGGATTAATAATATGACGAGCTCATTGGTGTAATGATATCCATGTACGGCTAATAATCAACGAGTCGCGTGGGTTACATTTTCACCGGGTCCAACATTTTTCTAATCAAGTTTTTTTTTTAAACATGTTTGACTTCGTCTGGAAATGCGGATATTAAATGCGTGGTGGGAATATCGAAATTCCGTCGCAAACCACCGTTCCGAATAACAAGCCGAAGTATCGGAACCCAAAATAGGTCGACAGCACACCTTGTTTAGATGCTATAGGCTGGGGCATTTCGCCTACCATCAAGTCAACTCCATGCTTGTCTGTCTCCTGTATCGTTATAGAATAATAATAATTACCTTAATAAGTTTACATTCCCTAGTATCGGCGAAAGCGGGATACAAAGCGCAGTATTTCTCAACCGCGTGCTGCGCATTCAGGATGTCTACACAAAGATGGCACAGCGCGGCCCTGAACATGTACTCCTTGGCGCTGTACTTCAGCAGACTGTTGTCCAGAGACGATTTTGCTATCTAAAATATATTAAAACATATAACCTTTGAAAACTTTAACATTATATAAGTTAAAAATCGATTTTGAAAAAAATTTATAACAGGGCTGGTCTAAACAATTGAGTTACCGTGTCGTAAATTGTTTTCAATCTAAAATCGATCTTTAATAAAACGTGGCCATTATCAGGTAATTCAAATTTCTCTGTACACGTTTTCAGACAGTTTGTGCAGTAATGTCTGTGTGTAGGCAAGGTTGGTTCAATCGAGATCACACACACATATATATATGTGTGTGCGTGTGTATGTATATATATGATATGATAACAATGATATTTTCCTATGACCAAATGATTGATACTTTTCGATATTTAAAAACTGTAATATTTCTCACATGTTCTTGTACATGTTGGCACTATAAATATTAAAAATCGATTATAATTCTCGCATCGCTCTTATCGTAAATATTTTCAATTTATAATCGATTTTTACTATTATTGAATATTTGAAATTTACTCAATTTTTTTTAGATTAATCAACTTAAGTTAACATAATAAATCAATTCTATAAAGTCGTAGAGTCTACTTGGTTGCAATAGAAACGTCACCTGCTCATAGATCTGTATAGCCTTGTCGTAGTGCTCGAGCTGCGCCGCGTATTGAGCCAGCTTAAGCATGCACTTATTGGCGGAGGAGGTGGACTCCTCACCGCGGAAGTAATCCGCCGCCTGCTCGTAGTGCTGCATCGCGCGAGCCAGGTCCACGCATTCTGTCTCGTATAGCTCCGCTATGTTCTGGTTGCCAAATATAAGATAGCGAACAATTACGTTAGTGTCTGTTTACGTGAGTAGTACACACTTAAACGGTTTAAAACGCCTTTGTAGCCGCCGTGACAGGTCCCACGTCAAAATAAGTGTAAAGCCTTTTTATATCCGTTTTAAACTCTTAAAATGTTGTTAATTTAGTAACATAATTTCATTAAGACTTTGTTTTGACTGACATCTCTAACCCCAATTTTTAAGATTTTTGCATTCTCATGTTTAGTTTTAAATATGGGTACAATAATAAATACCTGATGCTGTTTAGCGGCTACAGTAAAGCGACCCATGTCTGTGTAGATCTCAATCGCTTTTAGAAGACACGAGACCGCCTCTGTAAGGGTAATCATAAAACGTTATTACATTTATAACTAATTTCGTAAAAAAGAATAATCTGAGTATGTATTTCTTTATATGTTACAAAAATACACATAAAAGTACGTGATGGCTGTAAAATCAAATTTGGCGAAAAATTTTGGCACAATTTTTTGAAACTTTTACTATTGTCAATACGTGGTTTGAACAACATGCATAGATATTCCAAATCGCGATAATTATCGTAAATTTGTCCTTCAAATTTATTGAAAAATAATAACTCTTTAAGCCGAGTAACAGCAGATAAGTAAATTAAAAAATTACTTATATCGTCAAAAGTCCCTATCATACCTACTAACATAGGGGTAATTGCCCCTACCAATATTGTTTTGCTATGTGTAATTAATAAGTTTGTTTTGGGACCTGTTTTTGTAAAACACATTAAACTTATTAAAAAAAATTACAGTGCCAGTTTGCAGCAGGCTAAAAGGATTTTATTGTATATTTTTAAGCTTGCTCCAAATAGTATATGAAAAGTTGATGAAAAGACAACTATGTTAGTTCAGGACCATATCGGGTTATGTCTTTGATTAGTGCCATAAATCGTATTATAAAAGTAATAAGCAGAAAAAGCATGAGCTTAGGAGCTTGTGGAGAACCCAGAATATGGTTTACCTACTCCAAGGTTCACCACTTCAGTGTAGTAGTTTTCAAACTTAATGCACACATTGCATCATTGGAAAGGAGCATCTAAATTCAGGCAGCAAACCACAGACACAAAAGTTAGTTTGTTTGCGGCTTTTGTACTCTAATATTATTTTATTTTAAAAAACATTGTAAACGATAATAAATTACATAATTATAAAGATATTTTTGCATAAAAACTGATAAGTCTGCAAACGCCACACCCTATAATCAATTACTCATGATTACTCGTGATTTAGATTACGTAAAGAGAATAATTCTCGCGAAGTAGGCAATTAGAGTATATTATTTAGGAACATGCTCTGGTACAATTTAAATCAATTGACTAGGAAATCTGTCCTATTAGTTTCAGCCAAATGCAAGATAAATTGAAATCAGCTAGGTATTAGTCTATTCTCCATGTCTCTATTGCCCGACGTGGATGTGCATTAGGCATCCATCAGAAAAAAGAAAGTATTAATCTGGGTTCGATAACAATGTTGAAAACTATTGAATGGACAGTTGGACACAATTAGTGAAATACATAATATATTTCATATAATTATGTTAATTAAATAAAGTTTTGTAATGTCTCCTTTACACACATAAATTTTAAATCATAGTGCTAAAATTCACAAATCTTATTTGAATGCATGCCTTTACAAATTATTTATAGACTTTGTAAACTCAGAACTGGTAAATTGCTAAGCAGATTATAATAATTTTACAAATGACCTATTTCATCTGAGAAAAAATATAGAATAACTATTATAAAGAAAGGATAATAATAAGTTCTAAATGATAGATGTGAAATATCAATTTGATATCACAAGTTTGATAAATTCAAGAAAAGATTTTGAATGGACTTTGTGGTGGTTTTTTTGGAGTATACTCAATATTTATTATTAAATGGTAAAAGTAACACTTATACGAAAAACACCATTGTTGTCTATATGTAAGGAGTCTTAATCATTAACAACACAATCTTACCATTAGGATCACATTTTTTATAACAGTTAGAGGCATCTACGAAATTAGTTGCAGCATCATGACGGACACCAGCTTTGAGGTGTAGCTGGGCCGCACTGCAAAAAGCCTGCCCAGCCTGTGCCCACTTCTTAGCCATCTTGAAGAGGTTTGCTGCCCGGAGATAGCAGTCTACCGCCTCTTCGACCTTTGATGAACCGCTACCAAACAAAAATATCCTATTAACGGTAATGGTAAAGTTAATGGACGAAAGGTAACAAGTGAATGTTAGTTACCTTTTTTCCACTTGATGGTTAAACCAAAATCACACCAATTTACATAAAAAAGCATAATTGTTGAACATCTCTGAGGCCCTGTATTTTACAATAAACTCCAATAAGTCTGCGTGTTTAACGCACATTATAGAAAAAAAGCCATGGGTAACTTGTTAACTTTATAATATACTAAGCACACGGAAAATCGTAAGAATTCACATATGCGGTTTTTTGTTTAGAGCATAACACAAGGACGTCTGTGTTTACTTCTTGATACTAATTATTTTTTAGGAATACATATGAATACGTACAATGGCAAATCGAATAAGATTTTAGGTCTCGACTTAAAGGATATGTTTTCAACATGTGAAAATTGTCGGAGATAACTATACTCATTGGAAATTAAGGTTGATGCCAATGATTCATGCAAAGTGTAGCAAAATAGTGATCTAGTCATTGTGCTTACCCGAACAAGGAACCAAGGAAAGATTTCGAAGAATTTAGCTTCTTCTCCGCCTCTGCTATCAGCTGCATCGCCTTTTGCTCATTATCTGCCATTTTAGTGGCAAATTAAACCAACTATTATGAAAAGATTTTAAAGAAAACTGCAAAAATTTATAATTTATTGACAAAATGTCGTCACTCTTAGCGCCTCGTACTTTGTCGCTGTCATCGATTGGTTTATTATTGCCATCGTTAAAAAAGGCATAAGTTCCGTTCAGAAACATTTTCATATTTATTTAATTTATATAAAGTAAATATTAGTTAGGAGCTACCATATTCTGTGAGCAGATTTAACGGATTATATTATATTTATCAAAGCTTATGTGTAATATAATCGTTCGAGCTACAGATATTTTGTAATCGGTTGTGATAACTACAGATAAACTATTATAAAAATACCACTTTTTTTTCGAACATATTATATACTGGCTGAAGTTTAGATATCCACTAGAAGAAATGACTTGAAGCAAGTATTTAATGTTCCATTGGGTTTAAAAATTGGGAAGAAGCTACACCCCACATTGGATGTGTGGCTTGCTTATCGAAGGAAGAAACAAATTTTAACTTTGATTATGTAATTATTTATTTTATACATAAACCGTTGCTAAATACGATTCAACAACACACGTATAATATTGTAAGCGTTATAGTATTCAAACATATTACTGAATAGAAGGATGATATTTCTAACAAAAATATATTTATCCTCCCGCTATATTATTTCGAAAATCGAAACAGGTAATGAATCCTACACATTCTTGAAATTTGAGATATATGACAGAAATAGTTCTACTTTCTGTAACACTAAACATTTACTTAACAAATCATGAGTGATCCTAATTATGTCACTAAGTGTTATATAAAAGGTCCCGCATGGAACTTTTGCGCAATATTCTATTTCCTATATATCTTCACCGATTTAGAAAATAAACAATATTTGTATAAGTTATAGGAGTTAAGTATTGTCATTTGATGTTAAGTAGTACACATCGTCTATAATTTAAATAAAAAAGGTTTGTGAAAGAAAAATAATCTTAATATTTTTTTATTTGTCATAAATAAACTAAATCTGAAGGCACGACAGAGCTAGCAAATAAAATAGCATGTGGATATGTATTTACAAAAAAATAAACACAAGACAAAAATATCATAATCAAATAAAATTATACAATTTATCGATTTCAATGAGTAAATAAATTCAAAATAAGATCATAGACATCTTTACAAATATTTGTGTGTTTACTAGCGATATACTATTTTAAAGTTAATAATCACAGAAAATTAACCAAATATCAGGTCGGAAAAGTGAATACTGGCAAGACTTGCGTCTTGTCGTTTGCTGCCCAAAGGGTATTGCACAAGAAGCATGAGCAAATTAATGTATTAATTTCAATGAAAACAAATAGATATGATTTCAAAATTAAAATAACTAAATAACTTTATAGAACTTAAAGATAGCACTCGATTTATTTAGGGGTATGCATTAGGCTAATTTCCTATGGAACATTAGATTTTCATCAACAACTATTTCTTATTTACATACGTAGTGTTTAAGTGCATCTCAGCTACATTGAAAATACACATATATTAAGGATTCGCTACATTATAACCATAGACAACAACGTGATAATTTCTTAATAACATGCATAGAAACGTAGTGTCGCCAGGATGAAAGCATTTCATACATTTTAAGCGTATAATGACATAACGAATGAAATACTCTGTTCAAATGATTGATTAAGGAGATAAAATGATAATACTTTTACTACAGTCTTTAAAGCAATATCACAAACAAAATGCATTGTAATTTTTGCAGGAATCATTTGAGCAAAGTATTAGGCAACTGATCAACAGAATTGTAAGTATACCTACAATAGTAATTTAAATAAATATTACGACCCGACATTTCACGAAAATTTAAAATTTTGTATAATAATGTAGTGTTTAGGGGCACACAAGTAATTTTAACAAGTATAAGATGGTAACTTTCTTTACATGAAGAAATAAAAGGCGTTAAAGATGGTGGTGAGAATATGCGAATAAACAAATCAAAACCTTTAAGAGCACCCACCGCACACATATCGAAATAAATAAGATGTAAAATAGCACTGCAATAAAAAATTATACCAAAAAATTTAGTATTCATAAGACAAAGTAATTCTTTTCTGTAATAATATGTTAAAAACTGGATCGCATAATCTACTAATAAGTGGATGGAATAATTTACCGAGTTCGGCAGAAGGTAAAATTCATAAGATAACATAATGCTTTTCTGTAATAATATGTTGAAAACTGGATCGCGACAATCTATATGAATAAAAAGAGTTTCGATAAATAATAGTTTACAATGGAATGTGAAGTTGATAAAACTATCGAAAATAAATCTACGCACCGTTTCATAAGATTTCATTCTAATAATATATTTTGCATAAAAAAGAAACCTCTGAGTTTCAAGTGCAATAAAATAAGACCTTAGATAATGTAAAATGATAAAAATCAAATAAAACAAGGGTTACATCTCAATGCTTTCCGATCCCACTTCTGATATCAAACAAACAAAATAAACGGACTGAAAAGTGACTGTTGCAAAACATAACAATTTAAAGGAAGCGCCCATCGTGTACTTTAATATTTACAAACGAATGACTGAACTATTTCTAACTAAACAGAATCCTCCTATCTGATAAAGTACTCTTTGAACCTAAGCGCATATCGTATCTAATACAATAGTTGTATATACAATGCAGATTAAATAACGCTACGAGTCACTAATCTGTGACGTTTATAATCTGTGACTATGTTAAGTAATTTCTTTTATCGAACGCATCGATACAAAGCTATACCACTGAGATTGAACGTGGGCAAAATATGGCTGACATTGGTCATTCAATAATTATAACAGCTTGTCTGTGATTATCGCATAGAAAACAATGACACTGTCAGAGTTTCTATGAAGAATGTCGATTATTGCAAAAAAGCGATATCGCTGGTCCAATCTCAACGGTTTAGACACTAGGAATATACACTGTACTAAGAGAACAATTTAAGTGAAGTGGTTTGTCGGTTGCGGCGGTATCGGCGGGCGCATGGGCGTCATGCCTGGCATCGTCATCATTGGTGAAGCGCCCATGCCCATTACCACGCCCGGTTGTTGCTGGAAATACAATAAATATGGTAAAACATTTAGACTAAAAAAACTATCAAAACAGTACAAAAGATATATCGATATACTTAGTAAAATTAATTAAAATATTGAAGCTAAGTTGATAGAATGAAATTTTAATTTAAATATATCTTTCCTTACAAACAACGTACTTTAATTTCTCACTTTAATAGTATTGAATGTATAAAAACCTCAGACTTGTTAGATGAAAAACCAAACATGAAGTAATTTTTTATCGCTATGAAGTATGTATAAGACGTCTTAAATTTACAATAGAATGCAAACTTTTATTATAATTGAGCATCCAAAGATGAGAGCATCACACAGAAAAAAATGATTAACGGATCTATGTATCTAGCCATGCTCACACGCGTGCAATTCACACACATTCATACTCGGTGACAATATGAAAATGGCAAATATAAGACGCGAATTTTTAAATTAAAATGTTCCAAGCTTCAAATTCACTCCAATATATGCCATTTTCACAGTCACCTCATATATTACCTGAATTGCTGTCTGCTCCTGCGTAATACCGAAAATACAGGAGTATAATCAATCGATTAAATCAAATTAATAAATGGTAGAACATAATAACACAATTCATATTGAAATCCAGTATCAATGTTTTGTTTTTATTAAACCCAATTTAGAAATTACAACTAAGAGTCTAAGCTACTGGTCTCAAGCAAACCCGGGTAAAAAATGGGGACGGGATAAAATAAAAACTTACCATAACATAATGTGGAGGGTGGAACATGTGGGGTAACGTATGGGGCATTGGCTGTACGTTCATGCCTGGGCCCTGCAACGCAACATAAAAGGGGATGCCATGCTATGGGATGAAATTATAAAGGGAAAGCTATTACGTCACCGTGATACACGCTGTACACGAAATTTATGGAAAATTACTGTTCGAATTACTTCAAAACGTTCTCCGATAAAATTTTAAATATTTAAAATCATTAATATATTTCAACTGATATATGATAGAACAATCTAACGTGTATCTTGGTGTTTTAAATGATGGAACAAAAACAGAAAGAGGTTATAAAAAGCAAACAGATAAGGGAGTACTTTTATGCTTAATTTATTTCTTACTTTAGGAAAGATCATCTAAAGTCGATTATATAGAAGTTGAAATGGCACATTCTTTACTCAGGCTTAAGTATCAGTTTTACTATTAACAGTTGTCATGTTTAAGAAGAGACATTCCGTAGAGGTTTCTAGAAAAGTTTATGGAGTTTTCCAATCCTAGTCTTACCATTGGTCTATAGTTGGCACCCGTGGTTGCCTGCATTGGCTGTGGGCTCCATCCACCCCCCGGTTTTGACGCATTCTTCGGCGAACTCCACTGCATCGGTCTAGCGATACGCATGCTTACAATGTCTTTGCGTTTTGTAATTATTGATAGGCACAGGGAATCGCAGTTATTGAAGGTATTTTGCATATATTATAAATATAGAGATCAGCACTCTTCCCATTTACTAGACTGACATTTAGTAACGATTAATCGATTTACCAAATGCGAGTTGTGTTACAAAGAAGTTTCCCTTTGTTTCTTTTCTATGTGAATGTCAATTGTCCAAAATATTGAATTTACAAACAGCAAAGACAGTAATTGATAACGGGTGAAAGCATCCAACAAGTATCTATGTACTACAGTGAAAAAAATGCCTAAGCTCTAGCCTACGTAAATATAGAAAAAAATCTAATAGATAATAATCAACAGTGTATAAAAATGATTTTGAGTATGACAAACGAGCACTAGTGATGTTTGATGCTTTCACTAAATTATTTTAGATGACTTTAGATTCGTGGGAGCATTTCATTTAAGTAAATTTGAATTTAAAGGCATCTTTAATTATAAAAATACATCTACATGATTCACTTTAACTGCACAATTACAACGGTTATAAACATTAGAAATAACGGGACTTTCCCAGCACTTTTATAATGCCATTCATAGCATTAGAAAATATTGTATTTGTTCCAAAGATCTTAAGTGACTAAAAGAGGTAAATACCTGACTTATCGATATTTATTTAAGACACAAAACGTTATCTTATGGAGAATTACGCGTTATAACATTTATATTATTTAAAAGTATCTATGGGACAATCACTCTAGGTGGCATTGTTCGTAAGAATATTTCTGAACTGTAATTTAAAAAGTCTAATTTAGTACTTCAGATCTTAGACGTATGTCTAGCAATGTGAAATGAAAATAAGCGATTGTGTACTTACTTCTGCGCTGTAGCAGTTTTATTGATGCTTAGGTTGTTAGCGAGCTGCGCAAGAGACGAATCTAGATCGCCCGTAAGCACCTTGTTTGGTTGTGGCTGTTGTTGTTGACCTGTAGTTTTAAACATATTCTATAGTAACGCTCAGTAGATGCAACCTTAAAACGTAAAACTAGGCCATACTTTAGCTGATATATGTTGAATGGCATAAAAACAAAAATGATAGCCATGCTCACATCTAGGTGAACATAAAGTTTTAAATTATTAAAAAAAAAACAGACACGAAAATCGCAAATCCTCTGGAGAAATACTTAAAATTAGTTTAGAGTTAGATTGCACGACGACATGGACATTACGATATTACGAAATCAAAAACCAGAAAATCTTATATAAAGTATTTGAGATACTGTAAGTAAAAATCGCATATGTACACTTATTTACAAATAATTAACCAGTGTGCAAACTAGCTCAAGCTAGGTGAAACATCAAGCGGGTGTTCGGTAAGCTGACATTGGTCCAAACAGTCTAAGCATTCATCGAACCCATAGCTGCCATTGGCATCATTGGCTGACGGGCTGGCGAACCGAACATCATTGATTGGCCCATGGGTTGACCGACTTGTTGAGCCATAGGTTGTCCCATTGGTTGCATCGGCATCGGCATGTCACCGAACGGCTGAGCGGCCATCGGTGCCGGCTGCTGCTGCTTCGCCGGGGAACCCCCGAGGGACATTCTCATCACATCTTCGAGGTCGTCGAAAGCGGATTTCGGTTGGACGTTGGGGGGTGGAGGACGCGCGGGGGATGCCGAAATCGGCTGAGTGGGATCTCCGAGACCCATGAACGGGTTGGCAGCTTGCACAAGAAATTACCCGGTGTATTATAACGTTGAGTGATATGCAACCATACTTAGAATGAACAACAGTTCTAATTCAATAACCGCAAAGATCCCACATAATGTATAAACTTAATTTTTCTCCCCTTATCTTTGTATACAAAATATTGAAAGAGTACTAATATTTCCCCCCTTTATCTTTAAACCTACATATTATGATCTCTAGATTCTAATTATAAAAAAAAAAAACAAAATGAAACAATTTTCAAAACTCTTCTAAATAAGGTTGTCATATTTTGTAACAGCTCCAAAATTGTACTCTGCCTGATTAAAATTATGATAGGCTTTTAAAAATAAAGTACAATTTCGATACTGACTTAATTAGAAACTAAATACTGTATACCCATCACCGAAGTGAAATAAAGGAGAAGTTACCATGTGTTACACGAAAATATTACGCGACAAGTTATGAAAACAAAATGAAAAATTAATGACTCCATTAGGCTTGTGTTAATACATATTTTACTACACAATAAATATTAATTTGTCGACTAAAGATTGCTTTAATTAGAAGAATATACGAATTGTAAGCAATTATTCACACTTTTGTGTCTTGCCTTGTAGTAAAAATATATGGTTAAATATTATTAAATAAAGGAATATTGTACTTTTACTCTTTTTTTTAACTTCTGACATATTTTTGTCAATTTAACGACGATGTTACCGCAAAGATATGCCACAAAACTTTCAGTACTCTGCGTATAACTTATTTTTTATCATAGACAAGTGTGGGGTTCATATGATGGAAGGTAGAAGCACCTCAGCCATATAACATTGAAACTAAATGGTCCAATTTTGGCTTTGGATATTCAGAAATCCACAGATTGAAACCGAAAACGCGATTCAAATATACGGCTTTTCCATCTGTGGACGGTGCTTCGTAACGCGGACGGAATTTCCATTAACCTATATCGATTTAATATCCAGATTTCCTGACGAAGGCTAACGTTTTTCGGAAAATAAATATATAGATAAGAATCATGTTAGAGCCGTTGGGGATCGAATCCACGACCCGTTGATTATTAGCAATACATTGCTGCCATACACCCACGAGGTCCGTCCGTCCGTCTATGTGAAACGTGGTTAGATTTTAGAGTGGCTATTTTCTCTTATTCATAATGTTCTTTGTTAGAGTAACGCCACGGAATGCTGTGGATACCGGTTGAAGTCCTGCCCGTGTCGTAAATGTTTTCAGTCTATAATCGATTTTTTATTTGATACACTGCCATCTTGTGCTATAACATGTGGAAAATAAAGTTTTCAATTTATTTATTAAAACACTAGCCCTATGGAGTCGAGTCTAGTAACACATGGCAACCGTTTAAGCGGTGCCTCACCTGTGGTGTCAGTGTTACTGAATACGTTAGTGAAGCTAGCCTCCGAGACAAACGTGTTTCCAGCGGAGGCGTTGGGTGCGCCGGGGGCAGGCGGGCCTCCCGCGGGGAAGGCCGAGAAACCGTTGCTCTGCTGCCAGAGCGGCTGCTGTTGCTGTTGTGGTTGCGGTTGGGCCGCTACAACGTTTGATACGTCACTATATCGCCCTAATACTGTTTCACGTCTATGTTTTTGTACTATTTATAGATGTCTAACTTCGCGACTAAAAATTAATCATTGGAATCATTTTATAGGTATGTCCCAAGACACGCAATTCCTTTATGATAAATAGCGAAAGATAGAGATTGTGTATATTATCATCGATATTCAAAAAACTTATCATAAATACAACTTTTACATGTCCACTTAAAAAAAATAGTACGGCTTAAAATTAAGTAGATTTAAGGAAATAATGCCTGAATAATGGCCGCTTCCCTAAAAATGTTTATGATATTCGATACAGTAACAGATTTAGTACTACAGTTGGAAATAGAGGCTTATAGATTTGTGCTACTATGCTAGGTGCTATACAAATATACAGTGAACTTATGTACAAATGCACCTTCCACCTCAATAAGCACTATCACTTTAGTATTACCACTGAACGTAACTTTATTTACATATTTATGAGATAAATTCTCCTAAGGTATTGTACTAGACAACAAACATCATACTAAACTAGTTTTTCTTTAAACATTTTTTGTACTTGACTGCATAGAAAAAATATCAAATATTTTGTATATGAGCTTCGATTTATTTGTCGAGGTTAAGTTTACTATACTCAAAGTAAGGATAACTATACCTCCAAACATATCGGCGAAGGGGTTACCGAGCGACAAAAGGTCGTCTGATGCCTTGGAGGTGGAATTGTTAGTATCAGCCGGCGTCGGGCCAAATAGATCCACTATGTTCTGTGACTGAGACTGTGGCTGAGATGACAGGAACGGGTTGTTCGCGGAGTTTGTTGGAGATTGGACTTTGTTCTGTAATGATTAACAATCATGTTTAAAATACTTGAAGTTTCATCGTTAATCTGAAATTGTAATTTATGTTTATATACGTATAATTTTCACGCAAACAATTGCATAGTGACGTTATTTCCTTCAAGATTGAATATGAAATTTGGGTATCCACTAGATGGCGCTAATGTGAAATTGATATTATGAAAATTGAAATTGAAAATTAATATATAAGATTATCATCATATTTTGTAAACGATTATGATATTTTAACCCATTAATCTAATTTGGAAATAACATACAAATTGAAGATAGATTCATTTAACAACTATCATGAAGATTATAAAGTGAAAAGCCTTGATATAAATGAAAATTGAGCATTACTCCATAAAATACCCCCATACTACGGCGGCGTATTACAGTGCCGGTTTATTTACAGTCATATACGTGTACGATATACCAATGGGTGGATTATCCCTTCTTTGCAGAGGAAGGAACATGAAATGTACGATGGCTATATAAAATGAATGAATATTGAGAAAAACACAATAAACAAATGCGCCCATAACAACCACTATATTATATGATGTTTCTGAATGTCAAGTGTTTGTTTATACGAATTTAATATCTTTGGACAAACACCCGCAATAAACATATACAAAAGCACCATGATTTGGCCAAATTCGAACAAGACCCGTAAACCCTAAAATGCTTCTTACAAATAGTTGCGAGATTTGAGTAACGTCTTCTTCCCCAGTCATCTCCTCGCCTTGAAACAAATGGACCTGTAGAAATGGTGGTACACGGGTGGTGAACACTTTGGACTTAGCTCATACTGAGGCTTTAAACACGAGGTAATCTAAGATGTTCTTACACAGAAATAAAAAGGAACTGGCATAATTGAAGAATGTTGTTATTGTTTAAAAATAATAAACTTAAAGTAACATACTGTCTATAGTTTACCCGAGTAGTACACATTTAAATAAAACACTTTAACGGTTTAAAACGCGATATATTAGTTAAACTTATTTGAATATGATTTTTAACTTCGGCCCGATGTTTCGGATGATTTGCAGCAGCCGTGGTCACGGGGAGACTGACGGCTGCTGCAAAGCATCGTTTTAAACCGTTAAAGTGTTTTATTTAAAGTAACATGTTAGTCTATATGTACTTCTGAGTAGTTTTTATTTTAAACAATTACATTTTCAAGTTTATAACCTAGTTAAATAGTTATAATAGAATAGCTAACCTTATACTGGTTCATAGCAGCTTCTTCCTCAGCCAACGCCTGTTGTCGCAGCGAGTCGTCGATAAAGAGAGACCCGTTCGCTTGCGAGTCTATACGACTGGAAGCAGCCGCGTTGCCAAACGACGATGATGTGGAGGACAGGGCGCCCATTACGTTGGCCACGTTCTTTTGGGCACTAGAATTAGAACAATATTTATTAATTTAACAACATACATGAATAAATACAGTCTGTAGTTTATGCGAGTGATACACATTAAAATAAAACACTCACGGTTTAAAACGCGATATATATTAGTTAAACTTATTTATTTTAACTACGGCCTGGCGTTTCGGATACTTTGCAGCAGCCGTGGTCGAAGGGAGACTAAAGATGGAGGGTGTCTCAGACGTCAAAATAACAACCCTCTACGCTAGCGCCATATGTATTTGGCGAAACAGGACCTGTTTACCCGTTGAAGTGTTTTATTTAAACACATACACAATTATTTGAGTCCAAATTAAAAAAAACTTTAAAATATTACTGCCTTAAATAACTTGGCTGATAAAGCCCGAAATTTAGGAACGTATTTATAAATTTTAGTTATCGTTAATTTTTCTTTGTCTGGCAAATGAGCATAAATTGTTGGAAAGTAACACATATCAGTGACAGGTTAGATGTTACCTAAAAATTTTTTGCTTTATTGAGAGATAATGTGTGTGTAATACCTGGCTGTTTGTGTGGGTGTGTTGGCTGCTGAACCACGTTTGCCTTCCAGTGTTGCCAAATGGCCTTCCAGGGCATCGAGTAAGCTACTTGGTGCTCGGGTCAGGTCTGGTATGTCACCCTTGTCTATACCCACGTTTTCTGCCACCTATATAGTGGGGAACATAAATTACATTACACTTATGCAAAATAAATAATAGGTAACCACAAGGGAATTTAAAGTATTGTATAATTTTAATGTTTTAATGCTTTTTTTTCACATGTCAATGAACATTGGGCTATTTATAATTTAAAAAAATGTTTACAAAAAAATTGACAAGCTGTATCCCTTTCGTGACCTTCTTATCTTATACCTTAACCAAAGACATGACACGTATTAAGGTTCAATGTCCTAGGTACGAAACGTAAGGTAAATCATTAAAATTTTGCCATCTAAACAATTTTAAATTTTTTAGTCTCGCATGTAAAAAGTTAATCTACCTTCAAAAATTCTCCAACTCGATCCATTCTAATGAGGAACTTCTTGTAAAGATCGAGGGCATCGCGACAATTCTTCTTGTTCATATCGAAGTATTTCTCCAGCAGGTTGATTATACCATCGTTGTAGCACGCGAATAATCTGGAATTTTCCAATGTCTCATATGTGACATGCTTTTCTCGAGTATAATAACCTTCGTAGAATATGTAGCAATTGATTTGAAAAAAGAGATATCAATCGATCTTGGCAATGAAATATGTCAAATGAAAAATTCTTCGGGTCTCACTTAAGGAAACCAGAAAGGAAACAAAAGGTTAGTTAAAATAAAAAGACAAGATAATAACTTTTATTTTAAAATACCTAATGAGATCTCTGAAGAGCAACATAAAGCACATATTGATGACTCCGTTGGTGAGGTCGTTGGCTGTGCAGTCGAACTCTAACAGCGCATCTAACTGCGCCTGCAGCACAGGCAAGGTTTTGAGCAACTCCTCAGCATTCATCATGCGGAGGGAACCTTCTTCCTTCCTGAAAGAATAGGGGGGTTTGTCTAGGAGATGCACTAAACGATACACTCAGGTTATTCTGAATCACATTTATATTTCTTTGTATATATCTATAATATATTTATGCTAAGTTATATTGAAGTCCTGTGGGGTCGGAGATTTACATTCATTACCCCGCAGAAAATTATACTCTTTATTGTAAAGTCACTTCTTATAAACCACGAATACCTGATAGGTGAGACAGGTAACATAGCTTTATATCTAAAAATATTTATTGATAGTTTTTTTTGTCGTTTTCTGTCCTGCTTTTTTAGCTTTACGTGAATTTCCTATAATGGAAAAATAAAAACATTTTTGTTTGCTGTGTTATGTGTTCGTGACTTACCCTCTCTTGACCTTACAGAAGTCGAAGGCGACAGTCCTGTAGGAGAGTGCCTTCTCGTTGAGGTACCTGGCGTACCGGCGGATGAACGGAGACATATCATAGCCTGTTTTGTTTTAAATATTTATCAGCATATGACGCAATAAGTATATAAACAGTGTGAAATGATTTTTATAATATGAGCTATGATGATATTGTAATAAGAATAGTTTAGTGATTAATCACTTAAGGAACCTCCCTACCTCCATAACTGTATTAAATATGTAAAAGCATTTTTCAAGAAACAACAAATACTAATTGATGCTATGCAATCTATAAATATGATATATAAGAGACAAGCTTTAAAGTAAGGTGCAACTTCGAAGTTTTCAACAACATTACACTAATAAATATGTATGTAAGTAGGAAATAGCTACTTCTTTCTTATGTTTATCTAAATAAGGCAAAATAGAAGTATAGCATTTTTGCGCACATGGATAATGGAAAACAAATAAATATAGTAGATGTAAACTATATTTAGTTCATTGTGATCGCATTGCATGTGCACAAGTATAGTCACAGCCTTATAATCTTTAAATATAAAAAGACTAGTGATACAAATAGAAGCCTTAAAATCTAACCCAATTCGTCAACCTCATTTTTTCTTGTGATAGCATATCCGAGGAAGGAGACGGCTAACACATACATGCCTAAAAACAAACATCTTTAGCGAAAACAAAACAACGTACAGCTAAGCGTGCATGAAAGATGGTTCCTAGGCATTATGCAATGTAGTTATAAAATGAAAAATCTCATACTACTTGTCTTTGTAATTCTGTTGGGTCAAGGTTTGCAGAGGTTTCGCACGATAACGCGGGGCATCGAACAAACAATGAATGAAGGAAGTATGCGCTGCTAATTACTGTGAGATATTGAATCTTAAATAAAACACTTTTAATGGTTTAAAAAGCAAAATATAAGATGTCTAATTTTTAACTACTACTTGACGTTTCAAATGTTGTACAGTCGTCGTAATCACTGAAGAATGTTTGATTTAATGTGAAAAAATCGCGTAATTTACAAATCTTTCCGTTTTAATAAAAATTATTAATATTAATGTTCTACATCTAATTGTTTTTTTTTTTATCTTATTAAAATATTGGGCGGTATTAGATTTAAAATAAGAGACTGATTCTTAAAGAACCTAAACAAATCCCTGTATTTTTTTATACAAGACAATGATTTTCAATAGTATCTTATCTTGTAGTTGAGGTATAAAAAACTCTTGTTTAATGATATAGTGAAACACAAAACAAAGACAGACGCCCACAAATATGACAGAATCGTAAGGCTTAAACAAATATTTTATTAAATAGTCTGTGCAAACTGTGAGAACATGAAATATGAATTTCAGTTTCACCTTTTCATGCACTGTCTGCGAAATACGTTTTACACTAAAAGATAATATTAGCATAAAGCTACATTACATTTTAGAATATCGAAATAACGAATCCACCTGGCTTTGAATAATACAACTTTCTGTGGATCAGTATATTATATATTGTTAAATTATAGATAGTAATAGAATTGCTTGCGTAAAAGAAATTGATCGATAGCTCTGTTTTTGACAATTAATGAATGTTGTTGAACGAGAAATCAACAGTGCTTGAAAAACAAAACAAAGAACAGTGCATAGATATGCGAAAACTGCAATCCCACAAAAGCGTGCCTGCTGAAAGAAATGACACAGTAAGCCGCTTTATTTGAATTGTGGACTCACCGATCCTCGCACCGGCGGCGCCTTCCCGAAAGCAAAGGGAAATCGGTGGTTAGAAACAGTATCAGTGTAAACTCATCGGTTGTGGTAGATTCAGAAATAATATTCAATAATACTACAGGTGGAAAAATCGTGCAAAGTAGTCTCTCATAAACGTCCGACTTTCATCTTAATTTCACTGTGTTTATACAATGAATCTACCAACACACCTTTAAATATCTTAGTAATAATAACTATAGTGCAAGGAAACCAGTTTTTCAATAAACAATATTTTGTATGATATTTCGTGTTTCGATGAAACAAGTTATTTACAGTTACTAAAGGTGTTAGATTAGTTTTTATTAATTAATAATGATAAAATGAATGTTTACTCAATTCACGTTTTCACATCTGTACTATTAAACATGTTTACATTTAAGGATGTCATTAGCAAGACGTAAAAAGTTAATGAAATAAAAACGAATCAGTCTTATAATTGCTAAATTAGATTTGTCCGACTTTTAATTAATTGATCAATCTTATTACTAAGTTTTATTTTTTTCTATATACTGGTTTCCATACACAGTAAACAAAGATAGGATAATAAGAAATAAATCCATCGAACCAATGAATCATTATCGGCATCGTTAATGCAATTTATTATAACAAACACTATAAAATAGCAAATAAAATGTCTATACGGAGCAGGTAATGTGGGTGCATAGCACTCACTTGCACTTGATTAATAAACATCGATATTGCTTTATAATTAAATAGATAAATAATATGTCTATATTTTAAAGATATACGTATATATATATATAAAGTATATTCCTATATAATGCAAGGAGTAATGTGACACAAAATGTGACCAATTCAATAACTTTTAACACTTTGAGAATTCAGCCCACTTTTTTAATATTTATACGCATAATATGCATTTAGAATAATATATAGAAGACGCATGCGAATCACTTTTCAATATCTTATATTAATCACTTGTTATTTTTATTAAATTTGCGTTAGGTTTTTCCATAAGGTTGTTTTTTTCGAAGAATTATTCGGAATAGAGAGCTAGGTATTATTTTGATATCATTTTTTGTTAAAATAGGTGTACCAGTATACATGAAATCTGTCCTACTGTTTGCCTTGAGTTTTTTAATGTCTCTGTATATTAGATAGCCAATCTGCTATTCCTTACACTAACTATTTCAAAGAATGCCGTAGTTAGCTTTTTTTAGTTTGTTGGTAAGTAGTGGTAAGGGCCGCAAAGTAAATTATGCCACGTTGTAAGCCGGCTTCACAGAGCAGGGCTATTAGTTTCAATGTCAGTGACAACGTCGGCTAGAACTCGCATTCGGGTCAGTGTTTTCGCGCTCAACTTAGGTCTCAGATATCCAAACGTTTATGTAGCATATAAGTTTTCAAACACTAAAGTTACGTAAGTGCAAGTTATTTTATCAGTTTCATGAAATTTGTGGTAATCGAGCGGTATAAATCTACACTAATATACGATAAGACCGGGAGTTCGATTGCAGTGCGGCTAAATATTAGTGAAGCAAAAAGGGCGCAGTGACCCAGTTTCTGTCAAGTTCTTTACTATGCACCCTTAAAGAGTTAACTGTCTGCACAATCTACCAGATTACGGAATATTCACAGAAAAGAAAAATAAATACAAAACGCAGTTTAGTATAATTTATGATAAGGATTGTATTTATTTAGCCGTGTATAGCAATTAGGGAAATTATATGAAATCACATTAATTAGTTACGTACAAAAAACGCCCGGAAAATTATTAATTAGTAGGAAGGTAACATAGCACTTATACATATTAATATACGGATATATTTTCTTCCGAAACTGTTAACTGGTGTATTTGTAGTATAAGCAAAGACGTACTGAAAGTTGCGCGTAACTTCAAAAACGTTTTCAGATCAAATGATAGTCAATTACCGCCTATTAGCAGAAGTAAACAACCTTGGTCCGCGCGATAACGGTTACAAGGTAATACAAATCATAAAGGATCAATACTATTTCAGCCGAGCTAGGGTCAGTGCGTGTCGTTGAACTATACTCTCGGTCACAACTTGTAACCCTTGCCAATTATTACGAGTCCTAGTGCATTGGCTGGCACAAGGAAATACAAATAAAACTTTGTTTATTCGTTCATTAGCTGACTAATAGAACGTTTTATACTCCATGCGTTTATTAAGTGGCTTACAATTTTAGTGAGTAACAAAAAAAGAAATATTTTTAATAAGGAGAAAAATAAAAATGCTCAATTAACTTAGTCGAAAATGAATGATGGTCACCGAGCTTTTGTAGAATACCCTTTTTAGACTATTAAAATAAAAAAAACTCAAGTCATAAAAGTTGCAGTTAGACTAGTCTACCTCTAGTGGTCTTATTTTTATATATTCTAGGCATAGTTGACATGTCATTTGAAATTATTTTCTCAATATGCAAACAATACTGTAGGTTTTGTGTATGTACGTGAACCAGCTGCATCTAACTAAGCTTAAATAAGTTCTGACTAAAATTTACTTCTTAAATCATCTAGCAAAGTGACGGTGCACTTTTTCCTTTTAGATGTTATATTTCTGAAAATCTGAATTTTCTCAAAACATACACTTGTGCCATCGATCGCCGACCGCAGACGCTTCGAAGGTAGCGCACCCCAAAAATATACATCTTACATAAATAATGAGAGTACAACTTCTCTATATGCAGGCGTTCGTAATATTAGTCAAAGTAGTAGTAATTGTTCGTACTCATCTTTGAAAATCGTATCTCTATCGAAAAAATACCTTCAGTGTTAGATTTTTTCAATGTAATAAAGACAGAACAAAAACGTCAGTCTCATCAGAATTTCTTCAGTTTGAATTGCATTTATATGCAATGTTAAAAATTTGTTTTTGCGGAAGTCTGACGCTCAATGGAATTAAAACAACACATACTTACATTAAGATATTTTCTCATAATCCGAGACTAGCCTTATATAAAGAAAATTCAAATGCGCATTTATTTTTTGAGGGTAGGCAACATTGAACTGCATTAAAGATTATATATATATACATCGGGTCAAATGCGTACGATTAGGGCCAAAACGTGGTCGCACGAAGGCATGTCAGGTCAAAAAAGGCGATGACACAAATCGACTGTTAGGTAATGCCAAAACTTGGCAACTATTAAGCGATATTGTTACGTCATCCGGGTTGGTGAATCTTAAAACTTGTTTGCGGCAAAAAATGCCTATTTATCATTACAACCTTAATATTCGTACTTATTTATTATATGTATAAAATACGTAAGCAAGTACACTTAATGTAGACATTTACATCGAGTTTATAAAATATGGTAACTATATCCTTAAAATGTTTAAGAAAGATCTTATTAAAATTATTATATAAATTAATTTACTGAAATAATAATCAAACAAATATAATTTGTATACAATTAATGTAACAGAATCGCAATATACTGATTGAAAATTTTAATTTAATTCTTAATCTGCTCCAAACTATAGACATTTTATTTATTAAAGTAATTATAACTTTTTCGACAGATGTTGTATGAAAAGGAAATATGGATTTAAAAAGTTCAAAAAGTACATACCTTGCACCCCGCTTTTGTCTAGAAAATTACTTAGTTGAAACGTCGAATTACTTGACGCCAAGTATTGTGTGAACCTCTGAAACCAAAAAGAGATTTTTTATGTAGAGACAACGCCCTTATGTATGAGTATCCTCCGCTTTAATATAAAAACAAGTTTCATTCCTTTCACGAAATCAGCATATTATTTTAATACGATAAAAAAATTGCTATATTTTTCGTACAATAAAACTGTAAAACCGAAAAGTAAGAGAGATTGAGTCTTATATTATGTATTTTGAAGCTCAAACTCAACTCAAAAAACTAAAATATGTACTTTTTTAACTAGCCAGTTTTGGTCCTAGCTATTTCTAAACTTTAGAAAAATATTCTCTACATCTACACTAACTGCAATTATATTATTAAATTAGCTGTGTCAGCGACTTCGTCCGCGTAGAATAGTTATAACTCTAAAATTTTAAGTTGTTACCCACGACGTCGACCGCGTCGTTAAAGTTAATCTTGAAATATAGACGTATTTTACTGTCGCGGATTTTTTAGACCATTTAAAGAGGAATCATTCTTTCGCACAGTAGTTACTAAGATTAGCGCGTTCAAACATACAAACTAACAAATAAACTCGTCAGTTTATATATTAGTATAGATTACTTCATTCAATTATAGTGTCACAAGTTTCATGCGAATTCGACAGAGCTTATGTTGGGTAAATATGACGGCAAATTGAGTAATAGATAAGCCGAGGTCACAATGTTCGGCGAAGAGAAGGTTCACATCGAAAGGTTGCTAAAACTTGTGAAATGACAAAAAGCTTAGAGTACTAAGAAATATTGGTAGAATTTGTGATACACGTAAACGGTTGGCTGTTGCATAAAAATTGACGGCTACTATTGTTATTTTCATAACTTTTTGCAATCACCATAACCGGACGTCAAACCTACGTCCAAGGCCATTAGGTTATTGAATCGCCATGCAATGCTTTAAAAAAAATCATATACCGTGAAACGTGAACTCTATGTACTAAATTGTAACCTACGTACGTCTTACAACAACTTACATATCCGCAAAGGAATACTGGAATGTATTTAGGAGTAGTCACCAAATGCTACCAGAAACTTCTAAACAACAGCAATTCTAACCATTCGCACCCCGACAATAAAGACGCTGTCAACCAGAAGACAAACCCCCAAAAGTACATAATGGAAACGCAATTTCGTCGCCGGCTGTGCTCGCGAGCCGATTCTACAAAGTAGGTCACTTCTGGTTTATCATTTCTACGTGACATATTTTATTCAATACCACCATTAGGCATTTTAATCAAAACGTTTCATTTCTTTCGCCTACGTAATTTACGAGATTATTGGACCGTTTTAATTCCACGGAGGGATTATGTCAAGTATCTTTGGAGGGATAGAGGCGATTAAGAAGTATAAAATTCCTGATTGTTTGAGCTGGGAATTTAAAACGTGGAAGCTATACTGACATTGATGTTATGATGGAGTGTCTTGTCACTCGTTTTATTTAGCTCACATCAATCAAAAAATCGAAATCCTAATCAGAATACAAATTACGCGGTTCGAGCTGCTATGGCAATTAATTTTATATTCTCTATGAGTGGACGAATACATTCCTGCATAACTTGAATATACAATACAGATGAATTGTACTTAGTTTTATATAGCTATGTACTCATTGGCGAACTGTAACTGTAACTTGAATAAAATTTTCTACATTTATTAGTATTTTAAGTACTCGAGGTCTTGGCACAGGAAATTCTAGACATATCTTCTGTCGATGAAAAAGTGACAATCGTATATGGAAAATGAATAGACAGCTCTGTGGCATTGGCTGAGCTTAGATTCAAAGTTACGATTCTCATTTTAATAACAATCCAGCTGGAACGATTGCAATAGTACATGATGCCCATTCATAATTCACCAGTGCTTCTGCCGAATAGCACTACAAAATTGAGCCATACATTGCTATACAATTACTTAACGTATAAAGTTACAGATATGCGTCGTTGGTGAGTACCCGACTTTACGCTTCGACATTCACAATATCACGACCACTTGTTTCAATAAAGAGCTATTTTTGTTGGGTCCAATATCCATGTCGATGATATTACTCGTTTATATTAACTAGGGGACGATTCACTTGCTTAATGGCTGAAGCATGATACCGGTTAAGAATTGTCCAAAAAAAAGGGGAAAGAAAAGCGCACCCAATAACATATCGGGTCTCAGGATCCAAATTCTGTAACGCTAAATTAGTAATATACGATTTCCCACATTTATGTGCTAATAGAGAAAATTAAAGTAAATGATGCCTTACCTCATTTCCATATGCCAGTAGATGATGCACAGTTATGAGAGCCTTATAGACAACCACCCAGTTGGTGTTCTGCGTCCTCTCAACCAGCAGATTCGCAAGCTGTGGTATCGACACGTTAGGCTCGTTGGTGCAGTGTACTAGATCTGGAATGAACATAAAAAATACAAATAAATGAAAAATAACTAATCCAAAAAATGGAATGACGCGGCGGGTAATATAAAAAACAGATATTATATCAAATACCTGTGCAATTTCCCCGATAGCAAATCAAATTCAGTGCGGCGAGAGTTAATTGAATCTTAACGGAGGTCAAAGCAGAGGTCGCTGAGGTAACTAAATCATTAATAGCCCAATGCTCTTGACACCAAATTATCGGCGGACAATGTAACGATATCAATTTAACGACATTTTTAAGGCAGCACATTAAACCTGATTTTAAGGCTGTACGTGAAATAGCAGACACAATTTCATACAACTGTTACATAAACCATAACCCATGTATGATGAATTTATGTGCAAATTGTCATTTGATTGTGTGGTTTATAACTTATTGATTATTTAGTAAACAACTTAATACACAGTCCATAACATATACATTATAAAATGTATTTCATACTGCTAAGTGCAAAAGGAACCCACTATATCACTAACCAATTTATTATTCTTCAATCTATAATAACAATTTGCAAGCAAGAATTGATTTATTTAGAATTAAAGAAGGGAATAGTTTAGAATATTTTTAAAATGATTGTTCTTATAGTCATTTCCCAATCACAATAAATAACGTAATCCATTGTTTGAAGCCTCGTACACAGAATCTCAACTTATCAATGAATCTGTTAATCTCCATAACGCCCTTTTAATTTGTATTGCAAAAACAAGGAATCTTGCTCATTTTTTGAAATAAATAGTGCTGTACATGCAAATTATTAATATTTTATAATAATATTTTTAGCATTAACATTTAAGTTAATATCACCAGTGGAGATAACACAGGAAGTAACTCTGTCTGACCGTTTATCATATTTCACTTGAATCAGAACATTCCTAAACAGATCCATAAACACATGGCTGGAAACAATGTATTTTAGTTGTTATCTTATTTTTGGTAACAAATGTTATAAAAATGTATGGATATTAAGTTACAGCAATATAATCCATACAGATGTTATAAAGCAAATTTGTTTGCAGTTAGAAATAGAGTAGATGTTTCTTATCACGCATAGTACTGGTAGGAATTGTTAGGATGAACCCAGTAGCCTCTTTCAAACAATTATTACAGTGTTAGCTCGTTTATCTTGGTTGTATATAACACTTTCAGGTCATATATAAATTTTATATGTTTTATAGAAGGACAATTCTCACCTTTCTTTTATAAAAATCTATTTTACTATCTAGGACTTCTTGAAGACTTAGATAGTAAATTATGTGTATCTTTAAAAGTTTACTACATTAATGTTGATTTGGAAGAGATTCTAGAGAGATAATTCAGTTCAATATAATAAAACATCTGTAAAAATGCAGAGTTCAGTTAGTAAATATAATCTTATAGTAAATCCTAGACTTATGTCCAGTCATTGTATTTGTTGATTTTCAATTTATTAATAGAACAACACACAAAATAGAAAAAAGGTGTATATTGTGTCTGCAGTTTATGCAAGTAGTGTATTTAAAATATTGTAATGGTTAAAAATGCAATATGTATTAGTTAAAATTATGTTAAGTACGACTGTCATTTTGGATGCTTTGCAGCAGTTGTGGTCATGGGGATTCTCCCCAGCTATATAGTATTAAGTTTAACTAATAACCCTTTTAAACCTTTAAAGTATTTTATTTAAAAAAGTTGTATATTCCAGAACTCTCAAGAAAACTTCTTTATTGAAAGAAGAATTGTATTGCTATAAAATATGCCATAGATTATATATAGTTTTAGTGTAATATCTTATAATTATTTTCAGAAATAAGATCAATGTAATTAACAAAGATTAAATTACCTACATAGGGTTAAAACATTAGAAAATGTTCTAGTCATTAAAAACGGAAGCTATACAAATCTCTTCATGATTATTATTAGTTGTGAAAGGTAAACAGAAATTAATTGTGTTTTTATTATTGTTGGCAGTGCTTATCTTTCTAGACGTATGATAGTGATTAGATTAATTTTTAAGTATATTTTTCCAATATGATTACATTGGCAAATTTTACTTTGACTTAAAAAGTAGATGTAATAGTGTATCCAATTCGTAAAATTGTAAGGTTCCAATATTTTAAGTCTTCCTATTTACAAGTAGCTAGTTAAAAAGACGGCAAAAAATGTTTGTTATATCATATACTTGATTATGAACATATAGTAAGTTATTTATGATTACGATGTACGTATTCCTTGTTAGATAAGAATAGACGTTCAAATCTTAAATTCGATTGTTTTTATTCAGATTTTAATGTTTTACACTTGAATTCTTCCAAAATGATCGCAGTGGGCACTTAATACTTTTGTGTCTGCTAAGGTCGATATGAATTTCATGTCGGAAAGAACGTAGTTACATTTGCAGACTGAATTGATGAAGAATACTCACAATCTAAATGTTTCTTTTTTGGAGCAATCATTTCTTCAGTAGTGGCTTTACATACGGATTTGGCTAAGCCCTGGCCAGCAATACTGTGACGAGCGGCTAAAAGCCTATCGTTTATTGTCTGCCCCGCCATCATCACGCTAAGTCCTGACATAAACTATTTACACTGAGAATCACTGGTAATTATCGCCTCTATATGATATTTTTTAAAATTAATACAGGACGATGACGAGAAAAATATGTCACCGCCCCCCCAGCTGGCACTACACTAAATCCAAAATGGCTGACCAGTGCTGCCACTAGCCGGTATCTACAGATTTATCAACCAAAAGCATTTAATAAGTAAAAACCTTTTTTAATTTAGCAAAACTATTGAAAAAAGGTATAATAAGTAAAAATTAAAAATCAACAACTTAAAATATTGAAACCAGTATTGAAGGTTATTATTTTTATTAAATATGTCTCAGAGTCTTATTTATAGACTGTACACATATGTATTCTGTATCCATAATCCATACTATTCTGTGGTTGAATTCGGACTCTTTAAAAATAAAATAAAATAAAATATATTCATTGCTGCTGTGTTGTTGCACTTGCGCTATTAAGGTGTCTTATGTTTTTCATTTTGATTAAATAATTTTATCAGTATAACGTTATGGGTATTATTATTAAAATAGATTTCGAAGAAAAATAAGTCAATTTCGTGTGTAATAATTAGTATGATAATAAGTAATACCACGTATCGAAATGGCTATGTAAACTGGTAAAGAATTTAAAAATTGTTATTGTATCAAGATGGTAAAAAGAAGAAATTTAAAACGAACCGCCAAAAAAGCGTCAATATCACCAGAAACAGAGTCTGGACCACAGCGAATTGATAACTTGGCGGGTTCAACTACTTCCAAGCAGATAGCTAGCCATACAAACCAGTCTGTTTTATTAAAAATATGTAGACTTTGTGAGAGTAAAGATGGCCCATTTCTGGATATATTTGATGCTGAAAGGATAATAGCTAAAAAAATTTATGATATAATGCCATTTGTGGTGAGTGTCCTGTGACCTTATTAATTTGCGGTATTTTTTTATGTTTGAACAATCAATTTTGTATGAATTTTTAAAAATAATTTCTTTTTTTATCAATATGCGATATAGAAAGAGAATATAAAAAGATATCTATGCATTATTACTTTCATTTTCCAGATTGCTGAGAATGATAATTTACCTCAAAAAATATGCTTTCGTTGTTCAGCTAAAGTAGAAGAATTGCATGAGTTTATACAAAAGTGCTTAAATGCGCAGAAAACTCTTTGTAAAGCTATGGGCATGGAAAATACAATAACAGTTAAACCAAGAAGAGATGAAGTAATCTGGGAAAAAAAGTTGAATGAATGCAACATTTCTAATGATGATATTTGCAAAGCCCTTGTTAAAAAGGCAATTGAGGGTATTCCTACCTTAACACTTAAGGATGATGAACCAATTTTGTTTAAAAAACAAGTTGGAAGTGACTCTAAACTATTAAATGAGAAAAGTTATGAAGTAGAAGATATGTTAATAGCAAAAGAACAAAAACAAAAAAGTAATCTTAGCACTCAGACTCATGAAGAAAATGAAAAGACTTCATCTTCTGATGATGAAGATGTACCTCTTCAGGAAACTTCAAAAGAATCTCAGAAAAAACTTGAGAAAGTTGGGCCGGAAAACAAAATAATTAAAACTAATATGTTTAGTGTTGACTCTAGCAGTAAATCAGAAGACACAACCAAACCATTCAATATAATGGACCATGTTAGTATGATTAAAGTCAATGGAGTTGGTGTACTATTTCAATGCAAACTGTGTAACCGAAACTTTCTTAAAAAGGATGTGGTGATTAGTCATGGATGTGCTAAAAATGGTGGAAAAAAAATTGCAGAGGAGATCAAAACTGCTCCTCCACCACCACCTAAAATTCCATTGATCAAGTATATAAATACAAAAACTCAAAATGTGCTTCCTATCCAAACTGATACAAAACCACAGGAGAAACATGTTTTAAATAACACACCTATTAATATAGATGATGATGATGACACACCCTTGAAACCACAAAAAAAGAAACCTAAAATTGGTCCTGCTAGTAAGGTTGGTAAACCTTTAAATATCACATCCACACCCCAGCCTATAACATCATCACCTTCACAATCTACATGTCCACCTTTAGGTGGTGTCCCTTCGGTACAATTGCCATTTGGATCAGCACATTTAAATAGTTTATATAAACTTGTTCCTGGCCCAAATAATTCATTTATGTTAGTAGAAGATAAGTCGGAATCCCCAACTACATCAGAATCCACAACCAGTGCTCTATATGAGAGGCTTGTGAATTCTGGATCTAACATGGCTAAGAATGTTCTAAATAATGTTTCAACTAAACAACCGAAGCAGCTGCCGAAAGCAACAGAAAAACCATATCCTGTTGGTTTATTCAAAAGTGGTGTATCACAACAGTCTACTTCGATACTTCCCACGGTTGAAGCACTAGCTATGCCACCAACCAAGAAACAGTCGTATACAATTGTTAAAACTGGGAACCCCAGTAAATTAGTGATATCAACAAAACCGCAAGCCAATGAAAATGAAGTACCACAAAAGAAGGCGAGGCGGTCTTCGCGTAATTGTCCAGGCGATAGCCGACTAACCGAGAATGAAAATGAAGGGCAGAATTCATTCTTTACATTTGTAAATGTTGATCCAATTGCTCAGCCATCATATGTTCTGCCAACTGACAATATTATACAAGAGTCCCAAATATCAACGTCTACATCTAAAGCTGCAGAAGCCAAGGACAACGATACGTATTCCTGTAATATGTGTGATGAGAAATTTTCTAGAGAAAAGAAATTGCTCACTCATATTCAATCCCACTATAGTAAGATGGACGAAGAAGACGAGATCAGGGCACATAATAACTCAAAGAAGCGGAAAAGTAAATCATAGATTTGAAGAAGTAGCGTGCGGGGTGACGTTAATATGATTTTTATATTTTGGAATTTAAGGATTTTGTTGACAACTAGAAGCTGATTTTTATTTGAATGAGATATTTTTTTGTATTGTCTGATTATACATGGGCTAGTTCGTCTACATGTAGAACGCAAGATTGACTGTGACAGACTTATAAATATATCGCGCAATTTAGTATTGCATTCTCTAGTGTCTTTACTATGTGTATAGTTCATATAATAAAACTTTCATCCTACTTCAAAGTGATGAAGGTATCATAACTATTTCTTTTTTTGTGCTTTATATGCGAGAAGTGTAAACCATGTTCTAAATAAATATTCAAATTAAACTTTTTTAATTGGGTCTAATATTTTCGTAAGAGAGCACATTTTGTTGTGTCCATTCGCGAAAATTAATATATAAATAAAAAATATATATAAATACAAATAAAAATTATATAAATTTAAAAATCGATAATAAATTGAAAAATGTATAACGGGCAGGACTTGAACCGGCACCCACAGCGTTCCGTGCTGTTGATCTAACGAATTGATTTGATTGATTGCATGCACCAGTTAAAGTTTCCAAAAGTTTAAAAGTGGAATCGTTTTTATTTTGAAATGGAAAACTTCTGTAAAGTAAGTTTTTAACACGATTCATTAAAATGCCTACAACATGAGGAATAGGTAAAAATAAAAGTCAAATGCAAGATAATTTATTTATTGATCTTTTAAGAATAGATAAAGCCATATACATAGATCGAAACACATAACTATATACGAATATTGTAGACAAGTATAAGAAGGATTATTGAATATGTTATCTGACGCAAGTATACCTTATCGAAGTTTATAGTTCACATGGAAGTGACAAACGTGGACAGAGGCGCTAAAAATAGTCATCATTTCTCCAGTTAGTTTCAATTGTTAACTGAAATCATTAAACCAATGCACATTGATTTAGTATTACACAACACGTACTTTTTTGTCAAATGTCTATAAAATGGACCATCATTTTTCAGTATATATTCCATTTTGTTTTATGTAAATACGTGGAAAATACTGATGATAATATTGGTATCTTAAATCTTTATTTCACCAATCCAATTGCATCGTTTGGTACGTTATTCCAGCCTTTACCAAGACACAATTTGCTGATTTTAACCAATCTACCTCCTCACCTATTCGTTGTCGTCTAGCCCGCTTCACGCTATGAATTTAATAGAATAGACATGTAGACATTACACTAGAATAATCACAATTTGATATGTAACCGTTCTGAGCACCGCTCATTGATATGTATCGTTTAAGGGCACAAATATCTAAAAGTACCTACAAATATTTAAAGTACCTCGCTACGTGTTAATCTAATAATTTAAACTACGCCTAATTACAAACTAGACAATGGTCCTACTCTGGATTTTCGAAAGCCAGATATAAAGCGCATGCATTCTATACTTTTTCAAAGTTTTTTAAACTAAACGAATATTTCAACGAAATTGTTAGCTTTATATCTCGCTTAGAAAGGACATTAATTTAGGAGTCGCCTCTGAATTCGACTTAGGGTGGAAGATTAAGGGCGACATAGATCACATTAAACTACCTAAGTACAGCTTCATACCGACGTGGTGCCACGTCGTCATGAATATGACGCGAGTTGTCCTGTACACTACAAAAAAAATCACTACGACAAAAATGAGTCGTTCAAATCGGTCCGATATTGTGGCCGGTCGGACCGAAATGAACAATGTAACAAAACTAGTTCCGCTTGTATTTTGAAGATTCGTACGGAAGGTAACTATAGAATGAAGAGCTGATGGGACCGAATTGTACGACGTGATAGTAATCAGAGGCTGACTCCGGCGCTACTCAGTCCAGGAAGCCGGTGTTGACCAGCTTCTCCAGGAAGAACTTGACATCGCCTAGTTCGCTATCCTTGATCCCGAGGGATTTTAACATTCCGAGGTCTCCGTTCTCAACCGCCATAAATACGGAACGCAGATGCTCCAAGTCTGACCTCATCAAGTGTAACGCCGCTCCGAAGTCCTCGATTGTCTGTGATTCTATAATAAATATCAGTTTGTTTTAGTTAACCCTTTTATAATCTTAAAGAAATATTAAAGAGGCAATAAATACGCCCGCTTGAAATATATACAGAGCAATGGACATTGTTCTGTAATGTTAGAATGTTTTTATAATGAAATAAATAAATAAAAATAAAGTGGCAAGGCAACGGTCCTAAAATATTTTGCAAATAAGCAAACAATTTCTGTCAGTCAAGTTTTCAATAAATAATTGTGTTTACTTTGTTTATACAGCTAGTAATCGTAGTTAATATAATATTCAATAAATAATGATAATTTCTAAAAATAACATAATATTATTTATCATTTTAAATATTTGGGAACTTGGTTTTATGATTTTTGTAATGCAATAACCTTTGGAGGTATATATACAGATATCGTAGTAATTAAAGGCATTTTACAAAGAAACCTGTAGATTTTATAACTAGAAAATTAAGAGTTTTGAACCTGAAATCATACAATGTTTAAAATGGGAGCCGTTTTTCAAAATTGTTAATAAACTACATTAACGTAGGCTGAAATATAGTATAGAGTAGGCAATTTAGCCAACATTACCATAATAACTCACTCGGGACAAATTTGCCACTCCCAAAAGACTCATCTGCGAAATTCCATATTCTTAATAGGCACACACTACTCCTGTTCACGAAGTACTTAAGTAGTTGCGTAAATAAAGAACATACAATATATAACGTTGGTGGTACATGAGAAGTAAATATATGAAAAAAATATATATAAGCTATACTTTCGACCAAAAAGACCATGGCCAGTTCATTTACTGGACTCTATAATATGTTTATGCATCACTATAATGTGTATACGTAAAATGAATTATGTATGTTGATATATGTCGAACAAAACATAGTTAAACCTGTAAACAAATGAATATTAACCAATAACTAATATATGTAATTTTTACATCTTACGAAACGCGTTCATTTTGTCCTTACCAGATAAAGCAATAGCGACTTTTTCAACTCCACCAAGTGGTTCCAGGGCGTCCCTGGCCTTGTTACCGAAAAGTTTCTCCAAATAGTTGGGGCCGTGTGATGCCAGTAGCGATTGAAGGAACGACGCAGTCTCTTCTACTGGCGGCCGTTTCGCTGCAATATTTAATAAATCATTTTAGTTTATCTAGTAGTACTTGAACATCTTTTTTATTATTTTCATAGTGATAAAATTCCTTTTAAGAAATCGAGTCAACGCCAGTTCACTATAATAGTGAACTACATACATATATTTAAATGAAACACTAACGGTTTAAACCGAAAAATATATTTCCCGTGACCACGTGACAGCATGCAAAGCGTCGGGTCGTAGTTAAAATAAATTTTAAATAAACTAATATGCTTCGCGTTTTAAACCGTTTAATTTTTATTTGAATTTGTACTACTTGCGTATATTAGAGACAGTATTGTACATACATATATACTTAATCCTTAATTAGAAATGGATGGGTAAATCCTTTCACACTTTTGTTTGCTGTCTTATGTATTCATAGAGTATTGTTCTTAAAAATAGTTTTTTAACTTATGATTTAAAGGTTAAATAATTAACGCAAATGAAAAGGCTGTGTTGTATTTGAAGCCACAAATAACCACAATTTAATACAGAGCTACATGGAAATTCTGACGTCCCGAAATTTCGTAACACATTATTAGCTCAAATTTCATTTATAATTAATGCAAGCGTCAAATCCGGTCCGCTTTTGCATCGTTAGGTTAATGATGAGTAATTTTGCAAATGCAACAGTATTAATTTCGAATAATATGTACAATAAATTTGTTATAATGTGGGTCAAGCGAATTGCAATTAATGTTGCTTCCTGGGCGCTGAGGCTGTACGCAGAATAACAATACAATTGTTTTCATTGATTACTAGCTGTGTCAGCGACTCCGTCCGCGAGATTCATTATTTTGGGCATCGAAAGTCGTTCTTGCAAGTTGATCTTAAAAAATAAACATATAGCGCCGCGTTTTTAGGTCATTTTAAGAGAAATCATTCTTTTATACATATTCAAGGTACCCAAAACCGTTATAGCAGCGTACGCCTCGGAAACCCATAATGATGAATAATTTTTCCAATATTTTTCACATGTCTCGCTGTTTCTTCGATTGTATTCGTAGTTTTATAGATTTCCTCGATAAATGCTCTAACCATCATAATTAGTGTTTTTTTTTTTAATTTTAACCAGTTGTTCTCGAGAATCGATATGATTTTGTTAAGAATATATCGAATTTATATAAATAGGTGATATTGAAGACATGGAAATCGGTCGAAATCCTTTACGCAGCTTAACATATTACGTCAATGATATTTCACTAAAAACGAACGTTTACATGAAACTTTAACGGTTTAAAATGCAATATATATTAGTGAGAGTTATTTAAAATGATGAGAACTCTAAATAACTTCGGGGCGTTTCGGATGCTTTACAGCAACTGCGGTCACGGGGAGACTCAAGATCAAGAGAAGAACTGCTACGCTAGCGCCATTGGTTGGTATTCGGCCAAAATGACGAGTTTCAAATAAGTTTAACTAATATACATTCCATTTTATACCGTTATAGTGCCTTATTTAAATGTGTACTACTACAGACTACAGACAGTATTTAAGTAACGTTTAGTTACATTATAATCTGCCTATATTTGATAAAAAATCAGTTAAATTAAGGTATTATTTACGCTCTCCAAAGCACTTAGCTCCCAGATTCAGTAACTAAAAATCTCACCTGCAGTACAAAGCTTTGAGTCCTCATCGTATCCATCGATACAATCAGGAGCGCCATCACAAAGGTATTGTATGGAGATGCAGTTTCCATCTACTGGACACTTGAACGGCTCGTACGGGTGACAATATTCTGAAAATAACAATGCAATGTAAGACAAAAAAATGTAACAAATGACACAAAACCGCGTTTATCTCGTGATAATTATTGAAATCATAAAATAATGAGATTCAATCTGATTTGGCATTTATCAAAGAATCGTTTCGGGTATAGGATATTGTCATAGGAAGTCTATAGTATTTAAATAAAACACTTTAACGGTTTAAAACGCGATATATTAGTTAAACTTATTTGAAAATGATTTTTAACTTCGGCCCGACGTTTCGGATGCTTTGCAGCAGCCGTGGTCACGGGGAGAGATGGGTCTACCCGTGACCACGGCTCCTTTTCAAATAAGTTTAACTAATATATCGCGTTTTAAACCGTTAAAGTGTTTTATTTAAATGTGTACTACTCGCGTAAACTATAGACAGTATTTAAGATTTAATTATTTACCCGAAATATATTGCATTCCGACAATTAATTAGAGTAGGTAATAAATCCTGAGAGTTTGCTAATGTACTATGTCTAGAACTAATAACGACAATATGATTCCATTGAAATTCAATCAAGTTGTATCTAATTGAGTTTGGTTTCGGTTAGATGCGTAAATCAATTGAATATACTGTATACCGTCAATACGTTATACTCATTAAGTACTCAATTCGTATCAAAATTTATTAGTGTCTATCATTAAAATATTACTGGTTGATTAAATTTTCTTAAATGATGTTACCTCGATTCTGTGGAACGTGATTATTCCGGGATAAAAAGTTGTTGAGGTATATTACAAGTGTCAGCAACATTGACACCGCATTTTGTCAAACTCAGTCAAGTTTGAAAGAGCAGAAATGTCCCAACTAGTATATTTCAGGACATTTCAGCATTGATTATACTGAAAAGCATTTCTTTTCTCTGGCTGAGGTGGATAGATCAGCTTTGGGTTAACTTTATCAAAAATGAAATGATCTAGCCTTTTAAAATTGCAACCTGGCAACTTAAATCGGCCAAATCGGCAACGCTTGTTTTAGAAAAATCGGAAATTTATTTAAAATGTTGGCCTTGATAAGAGTCCAACTCATGACCTGCTCACAAATTTAAATGTTATCCAGCTATATGGTAATCTTCTATAGCTTTTATTCCAACGAAGTACTTCATGTTTCAATTAAGTTGATGGATGCTATAAAAACAAAAACACTCCCAACTCATAACGAAAGCTTCACGGAATTATGACAACTTCAAGGAAAATTGCCGTAAAAGGTCTTGCCGGTGCTAAATTGCGCAGTTAATTAGAAAAACTTGCTAGAATTATAAGAAAGAAACTAACGACTTCTCGTTACGAACTTTTTCGGTCTCAAGTCTTGGTGCTCGTGGATGTAAAAGAAATTATTTTAAGATGTACCAAAATTAAATAAGCTTCGACACTGTCTATAGTTTACGCGAGTAGTACACATTTAAATAAAACGCTTTAACGGTTTAAAACGAAATATATTAGTTAAACTTATTTGAAACTGAAACAGTCTTTTCGTGACCACGGCTGCTGCAAAGCATCCAAAACGTCGGGCCGAAGTTAAAAATCAGTTTCAAATAACTTTAACTAATAGATCGCGTTTTAAACGGTTAAAGTATTTTATTTAAAAAAATAAGCTTCGTCTAATATATGTAAATATAAAATGTATTGATCAAACCTTCATCTAATGAATTAAAATAGAAATTTCGTTCTGACTTATAATATTGTGTACATAGTTCTTTTATTAATTAAATTTAAATGCTAACCTACAAAAGGTTACTGTCTGTAGTTTACGCGACTAGTAAATATTTAAATAAAACACTTTAACGGTTTAAAACGCGATATATTTTAGTTAAACTTGTTTGAAAAATATTTTTAACTCCGACCCGATGTATCGGAAGTTTTGCAGCAGTCGTGGTCACGGGGAGACCCGTAGCTAAAAATAATTTTCAAACAAGTTTAACTAAAATATATCGCGTTTTAAACCGTTAAAGTGTTTTATTTAAACCTTTTTTTTGTTGAATTTACTATTTTAAATTGTTGTAATTCAACTTTATGTTTGTAGTTCAAAACATTGAACTCAAATTCGTGTCCTACGTTCAGGTAATAATAAAAAACTGTTTTATAAAATTTATGTACTGCCTCGATTCTGATCAAAATTCTTTGTTGGAACACAAGAGAAAGAAATCTGAATTTACGCAATCCCGTGGGCAAGGCCAGATGTAATAGAAAATATTTCAAAGAAATGTTATTCACGGTTTAAGCTTAGGGCTGACAGTGTTACAGAAAAAAATATGGCGATTTATTCAAATATGCTCTATGATCCTATTATTCACAAAATAAATGTGTAATACACAATAATACACCGTTTTATATTTGGCATGAAGAATCTTGTTAAGACACGTATATAGTATACCAGCTGTGCCCGCGACTTCGTTCGCGTGGAATAGTGACTTGAGGTAGAACTTTGAATTATTTGGGCTGTTTATTTATTTATGTAATTGCGCATTTATCGCAGCCAATCTATGTTGTAAGTGCTAATTTGCCCCAACACTCTCACCTCACATCACTCCTACTCTAACTCCCACTCCCACTCATATTGCCAAAAAGCCAAAGAAGAAAGTTTCATTGTTCTAGCTTCAAAAACCACAATTTCCATACAAACGTTCACCCTCCCTTTTTAATGCCTTAGAACCCCCTTTTCGCAATAAAAAGCCTATGTTCTTTCTCAGGGTCTAGACCATATGTGTACCAAATTTCATTCAAACCTTCTGTAATTTTGGCATGAAAGAGTAACAGACAGACAGACAGAGTTACTTTCGCAATTATAATATTATTAAGGATTTTAACAATTTGATGTTCGAATTTTCCATTTACCAAAGATAGTAGATCTCTATCGCACAAAAGTCCTTACCATTTGTAGTTATAAAGACTTTAGTACTATAAAGATATATCTTTATGTTATGGACTTTTGTAACTTTTGAGATTTTGTAAAGAATATGTTAAGTTTAATTAAACATGGTTATATTTTTACGATGGCAACCCTCAAAGTTTGCTTCACTTAAGAAAATGTCTTTAGGCATGATTATACCAATAAGCATATCATCTGATTCCAATAATTTGAACAATTGTTAAGAAACAATGAAAATGTTAGAGATTGATGTTGATATAAATATCTTTAGAAGGGATGTTATTAAAGGAGAAAAGTTTTGCTACACAAAATATATTCAATTATACACATTATTGAAACTTTCAGGAGCCCTTAAACATTTATATTCTTTGTATTAAAAATGACCATGCAAAAACTAAAATAGGAGTAAGTACAATAATATTTCAGACCAGTGCTAAGCATAAATAAGTGAAAGTTTAACTGCAGTGAATAATACAAGTTAAAACGAAACGAATAAAATTATTTAAACTTTCAAAATACCCCGACAAGTTGCGCATACAAATTGAATAAACTTGCAAAATTGTATTTGAGTTATAGTTTCGGAATCGAAATGAAAACTAAAGTTGAACCTTTCCGAGAAAATTCGAATCTAATTCTCAGAAACGTTTCGCCACAATTTCAGTGGTGTACTAGCAAAATAAATGTAATGTAGTTTTCGAATGAATAATATATATCTGCAGCAAAGAGAAAGGCGTAGATACGACAGTATATTAACATATTCATATTACATATTTTAAATTGTATAACTTCCAATAAAAATACCAATAAAAAATTGTAACTTTTAATTTTAATGTCCATTGGAGGTGCATGTAAAAACGTATTTAGAATTTCGACAGACATAGACGGCAAAACGCTGAAATGAGTTTAAGTTCCGTCTGTATTATTGCTGATTTGAAATACTTTTTGATATCAAAATAAATATCTGTAAGCGACCGATTTAAAACAGCATTTCAATCAAGCCCGGTCCAATACCTGCAATTTGATTCAACGTTGTATAAACTAAGGTCAGAGCACTAATAAATGCAACCGAGTCTTTCAGTTTTCAAGTCGTTTCTTTGCGTTTTCAATTTTACCCGGAAGAGTCTTTCATGCTTCGCTGAAATATTAAATTGCGTATATTCAAAGTGCCTTAGTTTGTCCGGAAAATAAGCTGGAGCACGACTCGTAATTAAAATGCAGATAGATTTTTAAATGCTTGCACAAACTAATTACATTTTCTAAGCTGTTTGCTCAATGAAGTTACAATATTACTTCTTTTATATTTTGAGATTAAAGTGTACATATTAAACAGATAATGAAGTAAACTGCTCAGCGTTATTACAATGTATGCAATATGATTACATTATCGCCATCTTGTAAATACGAAGCTTTGAGATCAATACCTCTAACTTGATGATTCGCAGGGCTATAATTTGTTTTAATGTTTAGCATACATTAATATTATATTTAAGATAAGATAGAACTTTGCATTGGGACGACCGCGCCATCTGCCAAGAGGCCCAATTTTCGTCGTAGACTCATTTAAATGCTAAATTTTACGCACAAAGCTCTTCCTCTTAACCGCATTTTCATTACCTCACATGAAATATAAACAAAATTTAATTTGTTGTAGTTGAAAATGTGTGTATCGAAAACCACGTTATTTAATAGCTCGCGAATTATTAACAACAGCAGGCGTTGTTTACACAAGTTTGCTATGCTCCGCGATAATTTGTTCCGCTTGTTGCTCCGTAAATTCGACGATGTAATTACAAAATCGAGGACGACACGTGTATGATAGGAGATCTTTCGTTGCCCGTGTCCTGAAAATGAAGTGAAAATCAAAATTCTATATAAGGAAAAAAATTCCGTAACTTTTCGCTAGGATAACATATTGCGCCAGATTTTGCGTTATAAAGATAAATGACATTGCAAAGTTTTTTATTTATTCTCAGATAATCCGTGATTAATAATTTGAGTATATTTTATGATGATATTGTCTGTAGTTTACGCGAATGAAACATTTTTGACAGTTTAGGACGAAGGAACTATATAACATAAGTTTAACGTTAACGCATTCGAAACGTTGGGTCACAATTACTATAATATAACTTAATTATTTCGGCTTTTATGTTTATAATTAATACTTAGTTTGTCCCATGATTAGGGTAAATAGGATATCATATTTAAAATATTTGAAAAACTTTATTATTTTCATGTCAGTAAGTGTGCAGGATAGCTTTATATATACATCGTTAAGTATGGTAAAGTAATCGTTTTAAATTTATTGCTATCTGCATATTTACTTCTATTTCTTGGCATGAACTGTTAATACAAATGTAACAAAACACATTTGATGTAAAATAATTAACATTAAGCGAAATATTGTCCTTTTCCTTTGTCTCAACAAACAAAATCTACGGGCGTAATAACTCAACATGTTTATGTGCGAACGAACAGGACAACCTACTTTTGTGGCTCCCCTTGTTACTCGCCTGTCAGCTTCGTTTTAAGCAGGGCATATTAACACAGGAATTAAAATACGTAACGTAATGTAACATACGTAATGGAGTAATCTTTTGTCTTTTACAATAAAGACAGAAACACAAGTGAACCAAGTTTGTGTTTATAGCTCTATTATTATATGTGTAAAAGTTGTATGTAAATCTATTACTAATAACTTAACATAAACAACAGCAAGTAAAACTTAATATATATCAATAACAGAATAAATAATTAATTTTACGTTAGTCTATGAAAACTTCACCTTTACATATTATGCAAACAAACAAATAGCTCTGCACTCTAACATACAATGTGAGGTGTAATGTACTTTATTTTAACTTCTCACATAAAAAGTAATATTTAAATTTAGGCGTAAACTTTTACAACTAATACATGTACATGACACAGAAATGCACTTGTCCCAAGCCCCATTATGGGACTACAAGCAGGAAATAAGTTTTATACACAAAACGTAATATAGCCACGACAGGGCTAAATTTGCTACGAAGCTGTAGCACGAGGTGTAGCAATCTTGTAGCCCTGGAGCTACGATCCAAATGTAGCTATTCTTATCAAATTATCGTTCACGAAAAAAGAGATAGTGAGGTATAAATTATCGTCACGCATTGTACCGTGAAATTAAATGAAAATAAATCTTCTATCTTCTGTTAGAGTATTGGTGAAAATTGCGGATATAATTTATTTTTTTAAATTTATTAAAAAACACATTAGAAACGAGACACTTTTTATGCCGATGAAATTGGTCTTGTTGTGGAAATGGAAATATGTTCCTTGTTCTTATATGAAATCTGAATTTAATGAATCTTATATCAATGTATTAAATATCAATGGGTCGTGGGTTCGACTCTAACTGGGTTAAACATGTTTTTAACAAATTTATATTTAAATAAAACACTTTAACGGTTTAAAACGCGATATATTAGTTAAACTTATTTAAAATATATAATAAAATAAATAAGTTTAACTAATATACCGCGTTTTAAACCGTTAAAGTGTTTTATTTAAAAGTGTACTACTCGCGTAAACTATAGACAGTATTTAAATGCTATTCGTTCATATTAGCTGTGACGTTTCAGATTATTTACAGCAGCCGCGCTCACGGGGGCCACTCCCTTGTCACAGTGAAAAAGTGTTTTATTTAAAAATTTCCTTTTATACACAGAGTCGGTAGTTTATAGCATTATTTGCACAAATTAACGTGACCTTTACTATACATGACAGGTAATTAGTCTGCGCGGATGCCCACGCCGCACCCACATATTGCTGGATGGTGTAGGTGTTTCGAAGTAATACCTTCTGACACTTGGTTATCTTGGTAAACTTACTACTAACACCAAATGTACAGATATTGGGCGCTAAATAATCTTTCCTTTTTTGTAATTACACATATAATTTTTTTCTTCTGCGTTTATGTAATTATATTCGAGGTCTATATAGAAATTGTTTTTTAATATGTAAAAAACTGACAACAAGCCGTAATATACCTTTTACACATCTCATTCAATATTTTAAAATATAATAAAAAGACTTTTAAAAGTGAAGAAATGTGTTTATGGTATATAACTTTATTGACTTTATATATATTTATGTAATATGTTAAAATGCTTGAATCATATTTTCTATGACGATAGCTGAATAAAAATCTTACCAGATCTCTTCGTGTGGTGCCCGTAGAGCCGATTTAGGTCCAAGGAGACAGCGCCGCGTGCGAAGAATAGTGCAAGCAGCGCTACCACGCAAGTCGCCAATCTGCACGGCGACATAACTGTAACAAAGTCATCACTATAGGACTATATATTTATTATTTATTTATATATTCTTTATTGCACAAAAAATAAAAATATTACAAATTAAACTTATATACTAGAATGGAGAGCAATGGGCTTATCGCTAACAAGCGATCTCTTCTAGGCAACCTAAAGTTGAGAAAATGAAATGTAAAGAAAATGAGATGTGCAAGGTAGGCGAAAAAAATTAACACAAACAATAAATAATCATAAACAAAAAAATCACAGAACTTAAAATAAAAAACATACAGATCTAAAAAGGTTACACGTTTACTAACTTAAACGAAAGGACTAAATATATTTAAAATAAATAGAGAGTGACTTTACTCAGATGACCGACAGGAAATGTTTATAAAGGAGCCGTATATATACTATAATGGAAAGAACATCTTAATATATTAAAAGCAGGTTTGCAGGTTAACAATGGATTTAATTAGTTGTAACAGTATGAGTATATAACACAAGTCATAGAGTGATAGAGAAATACCAAACCAATGTTTCTGTATTTTGATCCTATCATTCACTGCCAAGTTGAACTTAACCCATATTCACTAACAAGGTTTAAATATATAAATTAATATCATTTGTGAAAGCCGCTTAACTTACAATACTGCTCATTAAAAGTTATTGTATTAAAAACTTTCGTTATCAATTATATGTTTAAAAGTTTACACACGCCAAATTAAAAGTCTGAAACCGAAAATATACGCAATAACATAGCTTTACGTAAAGAAGCTATATACAATGTCGTTACGCGAATTGATCGGAGCAAACATTTGTGTGTCAGTTGCCAGACTGAATTAATTTCGTGTTCGGTAGAAGCTTGTTTGCATAGACTAATTTTTGACTGTGTTCTACCTACACTATGTTTATTGAAATAAGTATTTATTGGTTAGAAAACATTTTGAAATGGTTCCAAATGATTATTGTAATATATCTAATTGGATAAGATTTTATCAAGGTCAAAATTCAGTTAAATTGATGTAACTAAGTGCTCTTATGATCGTTAATATAATTTTAGTTAAAACACATGGCTATAAATTTCTTATCTCGTTATATTACGTTAACGTCGCGATGGCATAGACAAGCGAGAAGACAAGAAACTCGTGGCCATTCTTACTATCGCGAAGTTAGATTTCAAACATTCTTCGCATAGAAAGATTAACAAAATCGATAACACATGTAAGATTCGAATCGAAGACTCCAAAGATTACCCGATGATTCAAACTAATAATAAAGAATTGAGTTTCATATCACATTTTTTTCAAATGAAAATAGCTGAAATATCAACATATTAGTATCCTTAGTCCAAAAACACGGTAAAATGGTGAAATTCCAAATATATTTATATTACCCTCAAGCTCAAACACATATAATCTACTCGTAAAATAAACATTCGTTTCAAAGTAATTTTGTTTGTGTATACCCAAATGTTTCGCGCAAGTTTATCCTTTAATTGAAAATGGTAAATAAAAGTATCACCAAAATGTTCTTTCCACAACAGTTTTTTAACGGAATTTTAATTCGCTTACTAAAGACATAGTTTAAACCATGCATGCAAAAGAAAAGTTAATTTTTTTATTTAGTATTTTGGAGAGCTGAGACATTTAAAGACTCGTACGATTTTTTTAAATAGAAAATACGATATGGATGTTAAATATTATAAATAATAAGCTACTAATATTATAAAATTTTTATTATTTCTCGAAACGTGAAATGCATAGTAATGCTTCTAATTAAAATTTTCAATAAAAACCTTAATAATTATAATATATCTCGAAGAATATTTTAAGAACAATTAAAGTATGGTTTCGGTATCAACAAACTTAAGAAAGTAATTAAACACAGGTTTAAGTTTAATAAAAGTACAAAAAGTGAGGTGTATTAACTGAATTTCACAGACTAGTACAAATTTTAAATATGATTTAGCCGCATTTTATCTCGTAGGAGTTACAGATAATTAATTTTCAACATTGTACATCAAAGGCTTCACAGTGTTAATAAGGGTTGAAGAAGAGTTAATCATACATATTTTAACCTCTGCAAAATGTATATATGTATTTTCTGTTAAATTAAAGCATAATTAGTGTTCTTAATTAACAAAGATTTACTTAAACACGTCGTAATATATTATCTGTATTTATGCATATGAATCATTCCACAGATGAACCGAAACGCGATTAAAGTTGACAAAGATCTGTGGACGATGGTTCGTGACCCGGGCGGAATTTCGATAATCCTACCACACATTCAATAATAAGTGCTTTTTTATCTTGCTTCTTTTTATGATAGAGTAGGACAGATAAGCATGGGGGTGAAATATCCCAGCAACATCTAAACAAAATACACTGTCGACCTATTTTGGCTTTGGATATCATGAATATAATATATTAATTGACAAACGTACAGTTTTGTCAAAACAATCGCGAACGCTGGACACTATGCCCGAATGAACAGAAATAATTGTCAATTTCATTCGTTTGTCGAAAATGTATACATTTATTTGACCTATTTCTGACAATTAATATTTAGCTTGACGATTTTTAAATTTGGAATATTTTTTAAGCTATTTGAAGCTCATTTAAAATAATACTTTATCGAAATATATTGTACATGTCTGTTTAGGCAACTTTGATAAAGAATAAAATTTTAAAAGAGAAATTCCGCGCTTTGAGGCAAAGATAGTCCGTCTGTACTAGATTTAATATTTACGTAAATAATCATGTCTCTAAGTTAAATTGAGAAACAGTTCACCAAAGCTTTGTAGCTTGTTTAAAGTTTTAAATAAGTTTATAACGGGGACTAGCGTAATCGTGGGTGTTATATGGATTAAAGTTTGTGTGGTTGGATTTAATGTTGTGAAAATTGCATTATAACTTAGGACGTTGATGTATAGTGTAGATCTGTTGAGATATTGTCAACTGACCAAGAATATAACTTTATTTATATCCTAATAAAAACCATATAAGGAGGCTGTCTTGCTTATGTTGACTTTAAGACTTTGTTTTTAGTATAAGAGTTGTAAGTCGTACTAGATATTTAGCTTTTACATAAAATACTTTAACGGTTTACCCGTTTAATTATTTTATTGACCGCGGCTGCTGCATAGCATCCGAAACTTCGGGCCGTAGTTAAAAATAAATTTCAAACAAGTTTAACAATATATCGCGTTTTAAACCGTTAAAGTGTTTTATTTAAATGTGTACTATTCGCGTTAACTACAGAATGTGATGAGACATTTTATTTATTAGAAATTGTTAATGTTGCAATTACTAATACTACAAATAAGCTCTAAAATATTATTTTAAATATGAAGCTTCTTCTTGTTTTTATTTAAAAGTGGATACGGAAATACATTTACATCAACATATAATAACTAACATTTTTTCAGGTTAAAAGTAACCTGGTTTTATTTACAAAGTATTTTTACTACAAGCAAGATAAATTTATAGAAGATAATATTACTTAATATTTTAAATTAAATGTTATTCAAATCTTCTTACGATCGATTGTTAAAAGTACTTTAAAATATACTTATATCAAGCAAAAGCTGTGGATTTAAAGACTTCAGTCACCGTTTATGCAATAAAATTTATATTTTATCAAAACCAAGCCAGAGTTATGATGAAATATCACGCGATTCGTTCGTACAAATCGCAATGAACCTCTCTGGAAAGCTGTAAAAGCATTGATGAGTGCTCGCGAGTCGAAACTCTCAAACGTTACCACTTTCGCGCTTTATGATTTGCATAAAGCAGCTTTATCTCGGGTAATGGTTCTCTTGAATATTGCTTAAAAGGATTTAAGTTAGGATTCTTTTTATATCTAGATTTATATGTTTTAGTGAACATTTTTTTATGTATACGTAGACATTGTATATTGCTGACAATGTTACATGTACTTGGGTATTTTACCTTCCATCCGGTGATCCCCATGATTGTCTGTAGTTCTCTATAGTCCTAAAAAATATTAATCCCTTTCTTCTACATCACGTACTTGTGGTGATGTAGATGATCAGAATCTGCCTTACCCTGCCGCAACATTTTATAATTTTTTATAATAACTTTAAATGATCAAACATAGGAATATTTTTGTCTTTTCTTTTAAGATATATTTTGATTTACTAATAATGCCGATATTGACGCAGTTGTATAGATATGACTGGACTTAATAAATTGAGTCAAGCCCCAATATGTGTTAGTACTGCCACTATCACGTAACAGTCAGTGAAACTTGGTTCCCTCGAGATCTGATCAATTTGTGTCACTTACCTAGTTACGGTGTAGCCGGCAGCTAACGAGGTAATTTCCCAGTGGTCTACAGAACGATTGGATACTCATTTCCGAGATCTAATGCGAGCTTAACTTCAATTTTACTTCTATCAATACTCATAAAGTATAGATGAAGTATTTGTTTAGTCCAATAGATGTACTCGCCTAAGGTTTACAATAAAGAGTAAATAAAAACATCAATCGCCTGTGTGTTTTGTTGTTTTAAATTGCTATTAAAATATTCTTGTCTCTATATGTAAATAGAATAATGTTCGTTTAAATAAACTAAGGCTTATACAAACGTCGAATGATTTGCAGGACCGAAATAAAATTTTATTGAATTTACGGTGCAAAATGTTTCAACTATTACAGTAATAATAGTTACCTAAAGTTTCATTTACAGTAGTAGATAAAGATAAATGGTATCTTCAAATTAGAATTATAAGAACAGTGACAGCAGACAATGTATTGATACCAATCTGTACATGTCCATCTCCTAGGTTTTGACAGTGACAGCTGTCAATATATCAATCAATACTTGTAATGCAAACGGTTAAGATACTTTGTACCAATACACTAGCTCTGTGAAGCTACGACAGTCAATTTCAAATAGGATATTATTATAGAATAACCCGAATTGATTTGAGGAAAGTCTTTACACGAGTTGTCTTCAATTTTCGCTTTGAATAGTGACAAAATGAAGTG